GGCCTCTGTCTTAATTCATAGAAACAGCATACAAAATACAATTATATAAAAATAATGGTGGTTGTTTGGCTATGCTGCTGATGATGATGACTGACAGGCCAAAACCAATCCCCACACCAAACACTTATATATGAATGGCTGTGCGCACACAAGTACATAATTGATGAGCTAGTGCGCTCGCGGACCGGCACACATTCGGCGCCTCTTGATGTGATCTTTGAACACTTTATATTGAAACACACACTGTAGCTTGTTAGAAGAGTAAGAACATTAGTATGCTGTTCATGAAAAGTAAACAGAGCTATACACAGTGAGTCAGAGTAGATAGACATCAAAATAAATACTGTAAGGTATTGCCCCCCAAAATACTACGGTCAAAAATATCCCAAAGAAACAAAAGTTCCCATAAGTGTACTGATCCATGACAATCTATTTTTGTTTGTGGATCTACCCATGGTACAATTAAATCAAGGTAGGGCTTTGATACCATATGATTTTAATTTTTTTATTTTCTTGGCTTAAAATGTCAACTTTATTTGTTTATGTGTTTGTATTCTTTTCAAAAATAAAAAATGTTCAGAAAATATTCAAATTCGGGTGTTTTCAAAATACTTATTGCAACGTATGCATCGACAAAATCTACAGTTTTTGTAGACAACTGAAACTTTTTTAGAGATATATAGAAACTATATAGAAATAGATATATATAGAAACATTAGATATATATAGAACATGATTTAGAAAAGAAATTTTGACCTTTCATTCAGTTTTCCCTGACATTACAAGCCAAACAGGTAGACCTCTTTACTTGCAATTTTTTCAAAGTTAGCCTACCTTGTCTTCATTGTACCATGGATCTACCTAAGAGTTGAAACAATAATATACCAAAAGGGAACCTTTTTTTAATATTTAGCCTAAAACCAAGAAAATTCCAATGAAATATACAAATGGAAATGTTATACCTTATACTGGAATATTCAATCCCAGAATTGAAAGTGAGATCACAAAAAACACTTTCTTTTTGACTGACTTAAGTCATCGGCTGGCTTCTTAGTAAAAGAACAAAGGAGCGTGGCACCCTACCCTAACAAGTATAAATTACAGTCCGAAATTGGACTAAGCCAATTTAAAACTACTTTTTTGTTTTTACGAAGAAGCCGATGACTTAAGCCCGTGAAAAAACAAAAATAAAAAATGAAACAAAAGATTATTTCCCGGTACTCGTATCTAAATTTATTATTTTGCGGTGTGATTTCAAATTCTAAGAGTTATTTTATTTCTTTATCTTACTTGACACCAGGGCCTAAATTCTTGTTCTATGAAAATGTGAAATGAAAACTTTCATAAAGGAAAGAAATATCAGTAAGTTATTTGGCTTCTCCAAAAAAGTAATTTGTTGAGCTGTAGCCAAAATTGCTGGACCTTAAATAGCATTCAATTAGATATTAATGATTTTTGCATTTGTAACATAAATGAATTCGTAATTTCGTTTTCTTTTCACCGTGACATACTGTATTATGGACACCATTATATTGCGAGCATTTAAAGTGAAAACACCCATCTAAGTTGACATTAGTGAGAATTTATTGTTTTTGTCGGAACTTACGAATACACATGCATAGAACTGATATCTAAATATGTTTATGTGTATGGCGGGACTTGCATACATACTTGAAAAACATATACCTTATATGGTGAAAAGAAAACAAAAATCGGAATGAAAACGTAAGACAGCAACACCAAAAAAAAAAAAAAAAACAGTGTTTAAATATCTTTTTTATTTATTTGAGAATGATCTAGAGACAGGAATGGTAGAGACACATTTGATTTGAAAGGTGTGTATTCTATGTGTGTGTATGTTTTTCTTTTTTGGTTCTGTGAAATTTGATCGTGTTTGATGAATGGCCACAAATGGGACAGACTGTAGAATTGGGAAACAACAAACGTAACAGAGAAACAAGAAAAGAAAACAAAAAATTTTAGCTTTTAAATTTTGAATAGTTACCTATGTGTTATTTTTTGTTTTAGTGGAAGTGATAAACTGCCATAGGGAAACATGAAATATTTGTTAATGTTAATAATAGCGGGAATAGGCTAGTTGCGGTAGAGAAGAAATGAATTTTGACTGTTTTTCATCGGACATTTTTCGAACATTGGTAGAAATCCGAATCCATATCCTAAGATATTTAATTATGCAATTTCAAAATCGTTAACAATGCATTAGAATGTAACAGATTTATTTATCCATTCAACGTATCTATACTAGATACTTAAAATACACAAAGATTAATATGCAATTAACGTTTATTCCATTTTACAGCAGACTCGTCATTTTGCAAACAAAACCAAAAATGAACAAACGGCAATAATAATGTGATGACATCATGGGAATCCATACCGTTTTTTACGTCGTTATATTTTCATTCCCGTTTTGAAGAATGCCACCACAAAGTCTTTTTACGAAAAGAAAACAAGTACAAGCGCACATTCCAACCTTATATTGTTTTGTTCATTATCTCTGCTATAACCACCCTAAGAAATACAAAAAGGGGGAGAAGACATTCTTTTAATACACACAAAACCATTTACATTTGGGTTGATATTCTAGCACTTAGGCAACAATACAAATGTATTTTTGCAATCCTATACAGTAGACATTGTATGTGTGTGTGTGTCCATTAATTTGAAAACAAAACAGTTCAATGTTAGTCATGCCGATTGGGATCACGACACTGAAAAATCTAGACATACCCCTATTTTATTAGACATGATTATAGTTGACATTTCGGGAATAATTAACTTAGGCAATTGGCTAAGGCTAATTTTTGATATTTGCGATTAAAATTATTGAAGAACAAGTGTCAATCTATAAAACGTTAAGGTGCAAGTACATAAAAAGCTTGAAGTCATGGCTAGGCATATTAATGTCCAATTATAATGGAATACGATGGCAGGATTTTAGTGTGACTCTGTAATCCCTTTATGAAATGTCATATGCCTAGCCATGACTTCAATCTGTGGGATCTGTGATATGCCTCAACCAAGACTTATATAAAGAAAACATCTAAATTGAAACATTTTCCGCATGAATACGCTTCATATTTTTATTTTTCTTTGGTACCCTATAGGGTTTTTTTTTTGAAAGATCCAACCAATCGTGAACTCTATGTGGGAGAGGTATCAGAAGAAATGCTCGAATTTCTACCATCTTTAGCACAGATCTTTTGTTGATGAAAATATTGAGACTTTCCAAGTTTGAATGGAATCGGGTGTAAATTTCGTGTTCTATGAGCTTCATGATTATTTAAAATTTTGACCCTTTGTGGGGGAGGTACTCGATGGAGTGGACCGATATTATCCATATCCGAACTCGATCTAAGTTTGATAATAGTATTACAATGTACCACGTTTGGATCAAATCGGATACTCCCTTCGAGAGTTATCGTTCGTTTCAGCTAGACGGACGGACGAACATCGCTAGATCGACTTCAAATGTCTTGAAACAGATTTGGTCCAAAGAGACCTAGGGTCTAAAACCTTTATTTCGATGAGGCACATTTTGGCCGTATTAAATGATATATACCCTCTCTAGCCATTTGGCTGAGGGTATAAAAAGCGAATGCTGAAAATAATGCATTTAATTTACCCATATTAAACAATATTAAACACGCCTTAATTCAAATAAAGAGTGATTTAATATGTTTTCTATATATTTAGGTATCTACTCCATCTGAAGTGGGATATACAAAATTTTGTAGAATGTCATTGAAGTTTAAGGTATTACCAATTTAAACCTTTTAGATCTAAATTGGATGGACGCTGAGTAATACATCGGCGTTTTAAATTTTAAAATAATAATTCTATTAGAGATTTTTTTAATAAATAAAAAACGCACATTTTATTTTGAGCGGGTTAATAAAAACCTTTTTGGTATTAAACACCCAGCAAAATGCTCATTACAATTCGTGTTACCAACGCATTTTTTGAATAAGACCACGAAGTAAGTAGTTTTCTGTTGATTAAATAAGTACTTATTTATAGACCGGAGAAAAAATTACTTATTTCGAGTAACATACCCTTATTCATGAATAATTTTGCCGGGTACTATCTAATCAGGGACCTGATTGGACTTGGAAACTGTGACAATTGAAAATGAGCAAAAATTCCACACAAATAAACAATTTCAATAATGACATCTCTAGTCAGATACCCCGCACCTGCAGACATACACATACATACGATGATATGACACATTGTCACGTAAAGTAACGTATCTCTTTGTAATTGAACCCAAAAAAAAAACAGCAAATGTGTAAATATTCCAATCTACTACTTTGCTGTTTCTCTTTTGTTTATACACTATGCAAGTGTAAATTTTGTTAAGTATTTAATCCCCGTTGCTGCATTAAATTACATGGCCAAATGGCCTTTAGAAAGAAGCCGTTTAACAAACAACCAACAACAAGACCACAATATGTTAACTAGCGCTAAATGTCACCCACCAACAAATTGTTTTATCTTCTTTGCAAGAAATAAAGGTTTATTTACTAGGCAGAGTACATAGCCTTGAATTACAGAATATTCCCGATTATTTTTTTTACACTGAACACACTAAAAACAAAAATGTGAAAAAGTATTTTATCAATGAATTTTGTAATGGGACTTTAATAAGATTTGACGTCATTCTTGTACCCACACATTCTCACGTCTACACAAACCAACTGTTGCTTTACCACTCCTGCTCTAACAACAAAAACAACACATATCTTCAGTCTAGTCAGTTATATATTGATAGGTATTTCATAATAAACATTGTGGAGTGCAGTGGCAAAGAAGTCAAACTTATTTTTGTTGCTGGTCAACTTTTTGCCGCCATTCTCAATTGGTAGTTTATTTCTGGTTTTTTCCCACTTTACACACAAAAAATAAAATATATACACCAAATTTTTGATAACTTGTTCATATGTTTGTTCTTGCTTTAGCCTTTGATGTCAACTTACCTTACGTTGAGCTTCAGCTGCAAAGCCAGACTTTGGTGCACGATTGACAGACATTTTTGTTTTTGGTTTAAAATGTAAAGGGTTTTGCCTTAAAAAGTGTATGTGAAATTATTGTAAGAATACCGTTTTAGTTTTTGAACGCTTCGAGTGTTGCAATTTCAAATAATATGAAATAATTCCTTTCGAATTAATTGCAAGTTTTCAATTTATCACAGTATTACACAGATTATTTTTATTTGTGTAATCTTTTTACGCAACTATGCCGCTTATTTACGCACACGTCGTGATCAGTTGAACGTTAAAATGTGAATGCTTAGCAAGCGCTTGAATTTGGAAGCTTAATAATTAAGCTGTTGTATGGTGTAAACTCGAAGTAGGGCTGTGTAAATCGACTTTAGGCAAAGCGTCGAAAATCGATTTACCCCTGACAAAAATCGATAACACATCTTACTTCAATGCTAATGTCATGTTCACACTTGAGTCATTCGTCATGTACTTTATTCTTTTACTTTTCAAACTTGTACATAGTACAATAAAGAGGTAAAACAGCTTCGTAAAACTACTGAAATACAGCACTGATGCTATGCCCGCTTTCTGTTAGAATCATTAGAAATTAGATGCAACAATTTATTTAAATTTATTAGATATTTTTCTCATTTTCAAATTAAAATAAAATAGCGCGAAAGATGCCTGTAGTCCTGAATAAAATATGATTCAAATTGTTCAATCTTTCAATGGCAAAGCTGGTTAATATATTTAATTTGCTTCCCGCAATAAACGTTTTATCCACTCATTGATTTTGAAAACATTTTTGCTCTATTCCAGAATCTGCTGCCAAAAAATTGGTCTGTTCCAGAACTGCAAGAATGAGAAAGTTTTTACTACGATAACCGATTTTCCCTTTATGATATCGAAATAAAATGGCAAACTAGTAGATTCTTGCAGGTTCTGAAACAACCCTTTTGATATCATAAAGCGAAAATCGGTTATCGTAATAAAAGTTTTTACCTTCTTGCACTGCTAGAACGGACCATTTATTTAAGGCCTACAAAAGGTCGACCAAAAAGACTACTTACGAAAAAAATTATGCTCTGTTCCAAAACCTGAAAGAATCTACTAGTTTTGCAATTTTTTGTAGATATCTGCTTTGATCCAGACCTGAAGATATAGACAACGAAAAGTTAGTTTTGTCTTTTTATCCAGGTGGCTCTCATCATGTTTTACATAGTCAACATTCTGATTTACGCTTTCAAACCACTCGACTTCGAAACACACATTTTATCGTTTTTCAAGAATTTCTCTTGATTATTCCGGAATTTTTCGATGTCATCACGTACTTATCACATTTCTTTTATTATGGAACAATTTTCAACTGACAAATATCCTACAGTTTTTGTTATTTTTAACGTTTTAGAATTGAGTGACTTCAATATTCTCACTCAAACCCCTGAAACGATATAGACGACTTCTAATGATTCGATTTTTTTCGAAGATTAACGGTGAGAGCATTTCGTTGTCTATATCTTCATTTGTCGAAAAATAAGCAAATAACCAAAAATTGTAAACAAATTTTGACATTTCATCTGGTTTTTAAAATTTGCATGAACACCTAGTTATTGCGCCATGATCCGCTTTAAATTCTTTATTTTTCCTCTTTACTTACGTTTTCCTTATCCAGTGTTGTTAATAGTTTTACTAACTTATTTCCGCAAAAAATAGATTCGATAAATTTGTGTGTTTGTTTACAAAAAAAAACTGATTATTGAACAGCTGATGTTACTGGATCATTCTTAGTGGGGACATTTTCCCAATAAGAATTTGCAAACTCTCAGTAATTCAAATGTTAAAATGTCCCTCTAAATTCGCTCTTACTTACTGGATTTTTTTGGGTAAACGAACAGCTTCCATTAAAAAAATTGTACAAATTACCGACCTTTATATGCCGGACCTCTGGGTGCAAAGCCGAAAACAACCGGATGGCATTAGTGGAAAATCCAATAGATATATACAATCCCTTTTGATGATTTTTGTTGATGAGGATGATAGCTTGGACGCCAAAACCATGAGCCATGTATAGGTGTGAGGCCTCAAGTACATGAGGAAACGTGAAAAGAAATATCAAGGGTAGTACACAGCTCGGACGATTATTCGAAACTCGAATTACAAGGTTAAAATTACAAGGTTAAAGGTTAAAATTATAGAAATTAGGCAGTAGTATCGAAACTTGTTTGCGAGCAGGATTGAGATTTTTTTAAATTTTGAGTGGAAGCATCAGAATCGCTCAAAATTGAGCAAGTGCTTGTTTTAAGAGTGTAAATGAGTGGAAAAAAATGTTTCCTGTAGTGGGATTCTCTAACTAATTTTTTGAGTTACCGACAAAAATCGGTAACTTTGAAACTTAAAATTGTATCTAAATATCGGTAAGTCCTAGCGACTATTTTGATTCCGTCGCTAACTTACCGACAAATTTCATGGTAGAAGAATACAAGTAGACGCATCGCAACTGCTGGTAGGACAATGAACTGTCGAACCAATTTTAGAAAAGGAAAATTTTGAATAAAAATTACTTAAATTTGCAAAAATTGTTGAATCTAAAAAAACAGTTATATTAAAATACCTCCGATTGACGTTGTATAAGAAAACATTAAAAACTACTTATATTTGAAAAAAAAAACATTAAAATTTTTTGACATCAATGCTCCCGAGCGTTGATGCATCTTCCTGTATTCTTCTACCATGGACAAATTTCGTAAATTTCCGAAATTATAAGCATTTTAATTTTACCGACTTTTGTCGTTAATTCAAAAAATGAGTTACAGAATTCCACTACTGATTTGTGTGTGTAATAGCAAACGGGTTTTGATGTTGCTGTATGCTATAGAAGAGGTGTTGTGAACTACTTAAAAATACAACAAGGGTATGCCAAAAACTAAAAGATGTTCCGAAAAGAGTGGAATCTTGGCGATTTTGAAGGATTTTTTCTCCCATTCAAAAACGATGAAAATATGCTCACTCCTATTCGAGCGACATCGAAAAACTGAGTTTGCTTTCACAGGTGCACTTCCGCTTGAATTTGAGCAAATTTCCCCCTCTGTACAAATTCGAACGAGTTTTTCAGAGGTTTGCTTTTAACTTCCTTAGAATTTTTCGTTTATCCAAATTATTTCTCTTATTGTGCTGTTGTTCAGTTCAAATTGTACTATTCAGAAAGTCTTTGAACTCGAGTAAAAAATCACGGATTCGAGAGGCTGCCCTTGGCAAACATTTAATTGTTAAATCTTTAATCCCAAACGTAAATTTGGACCTCCTCCACGTATTCTTTTTTTTTTTTTTTTGTAAAAACCATTTGATTCAGTTTTTTTCTTTTTCTCCGTTTTTCTCATATAGTTTTTATTGGTTGAATTTCTGAAAACTAACGAAAAAAGAAGAAAATAAAAAAAAAAAATAATGAAAAATCAAACAAAATCTCATTTTGTTGTTGTTGTTTTAAATATTATTGATAATACAAAAAATAAACTTTAAATATACGAAGTAATATTTTATAATTAACATTAACTACACATAAAATACAAATAAAAGTTTTTGTTTCCTTTCTTATTTCCTTTTTCTTAATTTCTTGCAGAAGCTTGACTCTCCGACATAAGGATTTTTAAACTACAATCAGACCTTTTACAATCATTACTTTTTAGTTTTTTTTTTGTTTTTTAATATATCATTTAGTTTAGGTTTCATATTTATTTAGTTTTATTACACAGGCGGATGTTTATATTGATATATAGCTTTTGTTGTTATTTGTTTAATGTTTTTTTGTTTGTTTTAATATAAATTAGTTAAACCTATAATGCTACCATAATGTTTTTGTAATATTAAAAAAATAATATTTAAATACAAAATATATCGAATAATTGTTGCACAATTTCATTAGTAAATGAATCTAAACCAGAACACAAAAATTACAAGAAGTGAACAGAATTTATTGATTTGTTGTTGTTGTTGTTTATGGAGGGAAACGAAGGAAAAAGGCAGAATATCTAAAAAATATGTCTTTAACCAAATCACGGATGACACGGAACTGCCAAATGGTTCACATACATTCAAAGTTATCTTCATTAGATTGTTATTGATTTTTGAGTATGTAAACAGGAGTTTCACATTACACGCAAGAACATACAACGTTGAACGAATGTTAAATAGACAAACCAATTTGTATTTTTTAAACGCTCAAAGGGACTTTTACACATATTTCATTTTATAAAATATTCTGCCCTTTTTTACAAAAAAGAAAAAGAAAACATACATATTCTGGTTATTTTCAAGTGGATGGTTTTTGCAAGTTGTCATTGCTCAATTTTTGATAAGTATTTAGCTTGATATTTCTTGTATTTTTATATAATTTAAATTATATAGTGTTTATAGTTTCTGTATCATATTCATAGATATTGCTAGGCATGGAGGTGAAAAATCTAAGTGTTTCTTGAAAACAGAAATAAATTTGCTCTAATTACTAGGCACACTGTTTTTTGTAAACAACAAAAAGTTTATTATTTCAATGTTTATGAAATTGAAAATATGTAATTTTCCAACGCTGTTGTTGCGGATAAATTCCAAAAATGTGTTTCTTTTCTCATAGAGCAATGCTGGCCTTTAAAAAAGGGAGAAAAAAAAAATAGGATTCTTTAAAAGAAGCAATTTTTGTTTTTAAATAAATCTTTAAATAATTATCTACAAACTAAGCTAGACTTTTTCTCGAATTTGTTGCTTGATTTTGCTTTTTCTTTTTTCAATATATGGTTTGATATTTGTTTTGCCAAAAGCGTTTTTTTTTATGTATATGTGTTGTGTATATAGAGTTCTAGTAACCATAATTTGTCGCGTATCTTTTTCGTTAAATATAATATTTTGTATGTATTGTTAGTTATGTTTTTTTTTTTTTTTTTTTCAGAGAGTGTGTATGTGGTTTGCTTAAATTATTTTTTGTGGTTGTTGTAGTAAGTTTTCTCGTTAGGGGGGTTTCTAGAGCTGGAAAGTTATTAACAAACACTTCCTCCCTTGAACCAGTTGTGGCTTGGCTTTCATTCTGGCTTTTATTTCGCAATACACAGAGACAGCATCATTCATTATCATCATCATCTTGGTTGTTATTTAAAGAACGAACCCATTAGCTTTGCGATCCATTCAATATATTTGATTTATATATATGTACTTATGTAACGATATATATGTAGACCTACACATCCAGTAATCTCGGTTCTTTGTTTCCGTAACCATAAACTCACAGCAATGAAATATCTGAAAAAAATTAAAAAGATATATATTAGTGATCACATGAACTGTTACTTAATAAACATTGCACGCTGACAATGCTTATCAATTTATGTTCACATCTGCATATGTCGGATAAGTTTTCATAATTATAAACCTGTAACTGTAACCTATTAGGTATTGTCTAATTACTAAATATTTTTAAGCAGGCTGGGCTAATATCTGGTCACACAACCCCAACGAAATTTTGCATGTAGGTCAATGTTAATGAGTAGGGATGTGATAAGGCTGGGTTTTTGGAGACTCTGACCAGAAGTGTACTAAAAATACTAGAAAACACTACAGGGTGAGATTAAAAAACTGCAAAAAAGTCAAACGCCATAATTTTTACATTTTTTTTAATTTTATCGAATGAAAGCAAAAAATGTCGGAAATAGCATAAATTTTTAGAATAAGTTTGGATTTGTTCAAATTGGTCACCTTTGCCACAAATTCTAGCCTTCAAATGGCCAAGGAACCCGTCACGTGCTGCCCGAATGTTGCTCTGCGGTATTTTGGCCCATTCCCGGCGAAGCGCTTGCTTTAGGTGATCGACACTTTAGTATTTCCAAAATACTCCAGACACAATAGTCCAACGGATTGGTATCCGGAGATTTTCGTGGCAATTGCGCGCTGGGAATAAAGCGAGTAACCTCACTTTGTAACCATTCTTGGGTGGCGTGGCCCAAGGCCTCCAGAATAATTTCGCGATAATATTCGACATTTATTCTGATGCCACGGTCGATTAATATGAGCAGAGAGCACCCATCGGCTATTATGTTGGTCCACACCATCACCATGCACATTTCCAGCTAACCTCTTTGGCAAGTAAACAGGATCATTTTGTTTGTTTACAAACTGCTAGACAACGAATGTTTTCTCATCGGAGAAAACTAAATTCGGCAGTTCACCACTTTCGGCCAAGCGAAGCAACTCTGTGTGGAAAACATTGTGCTAGGGTTTAACTAAAATGCTCTGTTCGGTAAACTTCAAAAGGAAAGATTTTGAAGACCTTTTGATGCAAAAAGTAATCATTTTTCGATTATTCTTTTCGATAACGGAAAAACTTAAATATAATTAATGCTATCGAACTGTTACAGCTGTAAAGTTAGTACGAAGTTTGAAGTTTTGTTTGGAAAGGTTGCCCAGGAAATAATGAATAAATTGCGAATTTTAAATACTAAAATGAACTGTTGGAACGAATCGAAAATTTTAAGGGGGACTTTTCCCTGATGAAGTAGCACGCATTTGCTAGTATTTTTATATTACCGTAAGACGTACACAGACAAAAATTAATAAGATACAATTGGTACAGGAATGGTGTTTATTTCTTTAAGAATGTACTCAGCAAATAAAAAATATTTACATACGTCAGCAGTCTGACTCAGATCTTTTTATGAAACACCCTTACCCCACCTGAAGTACGACTCGTGTTCCCCAAGCCATTATTAAAATGTATGTAAAAATGTACATTTACATTTGTTTTGCAACGTTTTGGTAGATTGCCAGTCGAAAAATCAAACTGCATGAAGGGGGTCATGTTTTCTAGGACGTAGTACAACTTTGTGCCATAGAAAGAAATTGTGACCCTTGGTGGGTGAGATGCCAGAAGGGGTTCACAGTAGATCTTGTTCTTCTGTTCTTCACAATAGATCTTGTGTTAGCAAAAATGTTTGTATGTGTGAAATTTGAAGAGAGTTGGATGCTTTTTTCGCTTTTTTTTGAGCGTTTCGTTTTTTAAAATCCTGAACCCTATGTGGGGGAAATGGAGCAATCTCTACCATCTTTATAAAAAAAATTGTGTTGATAAACATTTTAAGATGTGATGAATGGAATCAGAAGTTTATTTCGAGCTTTATGAAATTCATGAATATTCAAAATTTTGACCCTTTGTGGGGGAGGTACCAGAAGGAGTGGTCCCATATATCCATTTTCACACCAGACCTTGGGTTAGTAAAAATGTTGTGATGTGTGTAATTTAAAAGAATTTCGGATTTTATGATCGTTTTTGTTATTCAAAATTTTAACCCTTTGTGGGGGAGGGTACCTGAAGGAATGGTCCGATCTCTACCATCTTTATAACGGATCTTGAGTTGATAGAAATATTGAGTTGTGCCAAATCGGAATGGGATTGTAATTTCGTGTTTTATAGCCTTCATGAATAATCAAAATGTTGAGCATTTATGGGGGAGATACCAGAAGGAGTGGACCAATATATTCCATCTTCACACCAGACTTTGGATTGATAAAAATATTGTGATGTGTGTAATTTTAAGAAAATCGAACTCCAAAATTTTAACCTTTTGTGGGGTAGGACTTGATGGCGTGGACCGATATTGTCCATTTTCGCACCTGACCTAGCACTGGCGCTAATATTAGAATAAGCAAAGTTGGAGCAAAATCGGATTATCTTTTCTCTTTATGTGCAGTAACTTATTTTCTTTGAAAATGTTGACATTTTGTCGGGGAGGTCCGCCCAGAAGGAGGGGAGCGATATTGTCCATCTCCGAACTCGATCTAAGTTTGACAATAATATTACAATGTACCAGGTCAGGTTTGGATCAAATCAAATAATCAAATGTCGGCATATTATATTATTAAATTGTAAGAGGTTATTAAGGCAAATATTGCAAAACGTTTCTGTACTCTTTCTATTTTTTTTATTCCTTCATTGTAAAAAGGATTTCAATACCCAATGGATACCCCATATGAGCTCTAACCAGACTCTGGAAAAGAGTTATTAAAGTATTTGTTGCAAACTCTTTCGAATTTAGTTTTTAAGAATTCAAACTTGCACATTTGACTTTGAAGTTATGTACTCAATATGGAGTTCAAATCATAGAGTATTGTAGTTATATTAACTTGCAATTAAATCATATTAGATATGTCGAAATAATGAAATTTAATTAGAAAATGCTTACGAGTGTATGTCATCACTGCATTTTGAATATTTTCACAATATTTACCTTTGTTTTCATGACTATCTGCAGTGACTAGCGTTGTATTTGTTGTTATTAAACTATTATTGTTATTGAAATTAACATTGTCTTGTGGCTCAAGACTAAGATCTATTAACTGATTTGTTGATGGAACAATAGTTTGTAGTAGATCAATTTCACTGTAAAAAATTAAAAAAAAAAATAAAACATTAGAATCATATTTGCCAATTATTTTATAAATTATAACCTACTTCTTGTTATTAATACTTTCTATGTGATGGCCATTGCCATTGGCTACTGACTGAGTAGTGGTTGTTGTATTGGTATCGTTATTATGTTGCTCAGCAAATATTTGCTTGCCAAATGTGGTCTCTTCGGCCACAATTTGAGATTGCAGTTGTTGTTGCTGTTGCAAGTTTTGCTGCATATTTTTAACATTCTCATCGATAATCATGTTGGAAAAGCTGTTGATGAGAGAGTTTTCTTTGTCGATAACGGACTGTTCATACATCGCTTGTGAGTTTTGAGGTTCAGGAATTACTGGTTGTGCTTGTGGCTGTTGTTGTGGTTGCTGCTGCTGTGTTTGGACTTCAGATTGTGATGCTACGGTAGCTGCTGCTGGTGTCGAGGGTGTAATAGATGTGCTGGTATTAGAACCCGATGTTGAACCACTATCATTACTGGTATTGGTGACTTCTGTAGTAGCAGCTGCCACAGTAGTATTTACAGAATCTGATGTAGCAGCATTGGTGACATCATTTGAATTTGGTGTAACTTGAGCTTGTTGTGCAGCTGGTGGTGCGGCAACAGCTGTCTCCGCCGCTACCGCCACTGTCTCTGTTGGTTTGGGAGAGTTGTTATTTTCCTAAAAGGAGAAGTTATTGGAGTTTATTAATTTCGAAATTCTTCATATAACTATGATACAAAAAATTGAAAGCGTAAATAAACCCTACAACACTATGTGTTGGGGTATTATAAGTTTGATTGGGCCAAAATTTATGCAACACCTCGAAATATTGGTCCTCGACATAGGAAACTATCTATGGATCTTCCTATCTCGCCTAGCTGAGCCAATCTAGCTATGTATGTCCGTCCGTCCGTCTGTCCATGTTAATTTGTAATCACGCCACAGGTCGCAACTATGGCCCGAACCTCGAGAAATAGAAAATTAAGGTCGGGATAGGGTCAAAATAGAAGCCTATTGGTTTTGGAGATGATCGTCAAACATTTAGGGATTGAAATGGACCAACAACATAAACATTTCCACCAAATTTTGAATGTGGCTTAGAATTAAACCCCTTTGTTTTTGAAGTTGTACATTTAGGGGTTCAAATGAACCAAAAAAATAAATAAATAACATTTTCCTAATTTTGCAGCCGCTCTACAGGTCATAATTGAAAACCAATCGGCACGTAATTTTGTATGAGAAGAGAATTAAGGACTTTTTGCATGACCACTGGATTATATTTAGCTGTAAAATGGACCAAACTTTTGTGAAAATCAGACGAGGTATGCGTAAATATTGGCCATATGCCCCAGATCAAAAAGCTAATGGTAACATCTGGGCCGGTCTCTATGACATAATTGAAAAAGTGAAATCTTCCAAATTCAACTTTGACATAAGGGGGATTTCAACATATTGTAGTGTTGTAGCGTATCACATGCTTACTTTTTGCAAATTCCATCCCATTTAGCCCAATATTACACGTTTGGTGCACAATAAAAGGCAAATCGTAAGAAGATATATATGGGAGCTATAGCCGATCTGAACCGATCTCGATAAAATTTGAGAAAGGTATTGCTGTGCTGTATTTGATAGATTTCCCCAAATATCATTATTACAGAGTGCATATTACGGCTTCAGAGGACAAAAATATCAAATCGGATAAACAATATATATGGGACCTATAGCTCTATCTGAATTGATTTCGCTCAAATTTGGCATACTTATTTCCAAGTTTGAATTCGTCGTACATGCAAAGTGCCATACTATTTGGGCTGATATTATACGTTTGGTGCACAGCAAAAGGCAAATCGGACGAAAATATATATGGAAGCTATATCTAAATTTTGACCTATTATCTCCAATTTCAACAGGATTCGTCCTTGGGTCAAACAAATGACATGTGCAAAATTTCATCTGGATCAGGCAATAAATGCGACCTGTACTTTGTTTACAAAAAATACATTGACAGACGGATGGACATGCATATATCGACTCAGAATGTGATTCTATGCAGATCAGCAAAAGGAACTCGTTTCCTTTTGCCTGTTAGAAACAAAGGCATAAAGACATAATGTTTGGTACCAAACTGCATAAAGACTTGTCTGTATTTGATATATGGTACCTAATATCATTCTTGTGGAGTGCATATTACGAATCGGATGAAACCTATGTATGGGAGCTATAGCTATATCTAAACCGATTTTCTCCGAATTCGATATACTTGATCTAGACTGAATTCCGTCGGATGTACCCTGACCACCTAGTGGTGTTGGGTATAATTGGGAAAAATACTGCCATACAGATATTATTAAATATAATGCACAGCACCCTAAACAAGGGCCAAGTTGTTGTTGTAGCAGTAGTACATGCAAGTGTTTCGTTCTGCTAATCTGGTTCCAGCCCCAGGTTTAGAAATTCGGCCACTTTAATGGCTAGGTTGTCCTTTTTGTTGTCGGAAAATATTTGTTTATATCCAAATTTTGATTTTCATCAACTTAAAAAGCATTTCGGTAGAATTTTTTTCGATATCAAATGCGGGAATTTGCCCCGATAGCTTGGTAAGAAACAGCTACGCCTCAAACATTACAATTAAGTTTTATACGTTTCGATATCGAATGCGGGAATGTGTCCCCGAAAGCTTGGTAAGAAACAACTAAGTCTTCAAGTTTTCATTTTCATCAATCTAATAATTTCGATATCGTAACATTTGATAGAGCTAAGACCCAATATGTGATTTGAAAATATAACTTTTCCTTGTAATTATTACCTTTGTAGGAGTGGAATTTGGTGTAGTATTGGCGCCACCTCTGCGTGTACGTGACATAATAGCTTCGACACGTTTGCGTCGCTCTTCACGCTCCTTTTCTTCACGCTTAAGACGTTCCTCTGTTTCAAGCTTTAGTCTCTCAGCGTCTTCTTTGGCCTTCTTCTCGGCCGCTTCGCGTTCTTGACGTTGTCGTTCCTCTTCCTCGCGTTTACGCTTTTCTTCTTCTTCGCGTTGTTTTGCTTCCTACAAATTTACAATAAAAATTAATTTTTGTACAATTTTTTTTTTCAAATATTATACATACTTCTATGGCTTGACGCAAACGTTCTTCTTCAGCCTTACGCTGCTCCTCGGCCATACGCATAGCTTCCTCCTCGAATTGTCGCTGGCGCTCCGCTTCTTCCTCTTGTCTTTTGAGTTCAGCCAAACGTTCTGCTTCTAACCGTTGCCTTTCTAGTTCGGCTTGTCTTTCGGCTTCTTCGCGAGCCAAACGACGTCTTTCGGCCAGTGCAGCTTTGGCTTCTTCTTCTGTTGTAATTTTACTTTTAGCCATCATTGAAGCGGTCATGGGGTCGCCACCGTTTTCATTGGCTGGTGCTAATTCACGCACCATTGAACCCTCCTTACTGCCACTGCGAGATTTAGGTTTTGGTGGCACCGCCGATTCCATTTCAGGTTCTTTTTCGGTACCCTCATCAACCTTTTCTTCCTGTGGTGTGTCCACCTGGGAGTTTTGTTTAACCTCATCGTCGCCACCATCAATAAGTTTTTTGGCGTCAGTCTCAACGTTGCCATTTTGATGAGCAACAGTTGTGGATGTGGCGGATTTATTAACGTTTTCAACAGTTTTCACTTGATTAAGTGCTTCCTTCTGTTCCTTGCTCTTTGTGGCTTCTTTTTGTTCTTTGTTCTTAGTAACATCCCTGTTACTGCTGCTGCTGGCTATTGTCTTAACTGGAGGCGTTATGGCCGACTTAGACATAATGTCTTTTGATTTTTCCTTGCTTAATTTGTGCAGACGGTCTGAGCTGGCTGTTTTCGAAAGCGGTTTTGGTGTAGTGGCTTTCGGAGTGAGAGGTTCCTGCAAAGGCATAATTGGTAAAAACGAATTAGTTTCGAAAATGTTTAATGTGTATATTTTTAATTTATATATCTCAAGTCTACTTTCTGTGACAATATTCGACAACTAAAATTAATGGCAATTTGAGCACTTCATTTGAAGAAATGTTTAAAAAGGTTTGTCAAGTGCCTCAAATCTTATCAACTTCCCTCAGTAGCCGAAGCAGTATCTGACACAATCCAACTGATGCAGGAAATTTGAAAAAGATTTTTTTAAAGGAAATTTTAATTATGAATTTCCCCGAACACAACATCTCTTCTGGTTGGATTGACTGACAATATAAGAAATTCTGTCAGTGCTAGTGATTGCTGTGTTTTATTATCACTTGATTTGGAGAAGGCATTTGACAGGATTAATCATGCCAATTTAATTAGTAAGTTACATCGTCTCTTCAATTTTTCGTCCTCGGCTTGTAAGTTAATGTTTTCTTACTTGTTCGGGAGAAAACAGTATGTCTCTGGTAAAAATGTTGTTTCCAATATTCTTCCAGTGAGTAGTGGTGTGCCACAGGGATCTGTTCTTGGCCCTCTATTGTTCGTTATGTATGTTAATGATTTGCTGAGTTGTATTAATGGTAGGAACTGTATGTCGTTTGCATTTGCTGATGACATTCAAATTTTGTTTAAAGGAGAATATGTGTTTATGGATGTGTTGCAGTCGTCAATTGATTTTAATATTAATATGTTGGTAACTTGGTTGTCCTGTAACGGTCTCTCAATAAATACTCAAAAATCTAAAGTTATGTTTTTTGGAACTTGCAAGAGGATTCAATTAGAGTTTCCATTTATAGGACGCCTATAAATGTTGTAAGCTCGATGAAATGTCTTGGTTTGTTTCTTGATTCTGGTTTGGTGTTTGATGTGCATGTGAATTCTTTAGTGTCCAAAGTTAACTTTATTTTAAAGAAGTTGTACTGCTTGGACATAGTTTTGCCTAAGAAGATTAGAATTCAGTTGGTACATGCATTAATAATGCCTCACTTTTTATATTGTATTGAGATTTTTGGGGGTAGCTACGGTTTTGTTTTTCATAAGTTAAAACTATTGTTTCATAGAGTAATGCGATATGTTTTTTGTGTCAAACGTCGTGATCATATATCTCCTTCTGTGAAAGAGTTTCTTGGTTGTTCGTTTGAGTGTTTTGTGAATTTAAGGTCAATGTTGTTCTTCTACAAACATTTTAAATTGAGGACATCTTCTACTCTTTTGGACCTTTTTAAGTTTTCGAGATCTGTAAGGAACCTGCAAATTGTTATACCACGCTTGACTCCTCTGTTGGAAAAATCCTTCTATGTAAGAATTGCTCGCATTTTCAACAATCTGCCACCTAATCTTAAGACATTCAATTCTTCCCTAAAATGTTATAGGCGTAAATTATATGCTCATTTCAATATTGTTTAAAATATATAGTTTTCTTGTGTTAATTTGTTTTTTTCCTTGCATAGTTGATTTATCTAAATCTTCAATGAATTGTGATTTCTGCTAATCTTTTTTTTTTTGTTATTTTTTTAATGTTATTTTTAAGATTAAGGATGTTATGAATAGTTTTGAGTAGTCATGTATAGGAGTTCTTGGAACCATCAATCAATTGTTAATTTTATTCATTTTTTGTTAATTTGTTTTAGTGTTTAATTTTAAGTAATTCTTTTAGGATTAAGGATATTATAATAATTTTAGAGTAGTCATGTATAGAAGTTTTTTGAACCGTCCATGGCCCTGTTGGCTAGGTTTCTGTACTAATTGAAAATAAAAAAAATAAAAAAAAAAAAATTACTCGATATGTACTTGAGCTTGTGTACCGGGAAGGAGGGTCACATACATTTACCCTTTCAACTCGGAAATTTTCTTTTTGTTAGCTTTCAATGCCGGAAGCTACAGAAACATCCTAATTGCCCAGCAAAATTTCCAATGCCAAAGATGTCGTGCAATCATTCAAGTGATATGGATCGGCATCTTTTTCAGGATTGAAATCATTTTTGGATCGTGGAGTTATTACCTGACCTTCAGCATGGCATTTTCACCCAACTTGTGGCATGACATCTTCACCTAACCCTTGGCACAGCCTGACCAAATCTATGGTATGGAATTTTAAACTCAATCTTTGGCTTCACCAGGCAATGCCTTAAAAAGGCGATGACTGCGGGAAAGGTGGTATCAATGAAGACTGTTACAATGAAGCCTGTCATAGAGTAGAGTGAAACAGGGAGTTTGCCAAGGTGGTGTGATATCTCCGGAACTTTTTAACCTCTACCTTTCCGGAATTCCTCGCCCCACTGACGGCATAGATATCGTAACATATGGGGATGATTTTACGATCATGGCGTCGGGCCCAGTGGTCGATGACATATGTGAAAGGTTGAAACCCTATCTCGCGAAGCTTGCCGCATAGTTCCACGCGAGGAATATGAAAACATCCGCCACGAAATCAACGGCCACACTCTTTACCACATGGTCTGCAGAGATGAGAACACAGCTGAATGAGCAGGTCGAGGGAAATTTAATACCGACCACGAACTACCCCAAGTCGTCCGCACAAGCCACACCTATCTGCGACTAGATGAAAAGTAAAAACAAGGTCCTCAAGGCGCTAGCCGGCAGCACTTGTGCGGACAAGGAAACCTTGTTGACCTCGTATAACGCGATAGGTCGGTCTGTGGCTGGCTATGCGGCTCCAGTGTGGTCCGCGAATACTAGTGATACGCAGTAGAAGCACATCCAGACCTGCCAGAATGCCGCCCTGAGAACTGCAACAGGGTGCCTCCTCATGACACCAGCGGACCATCTACATGAGAAGGCGAAAGTCCTTCCCTTACGTCAGCATAATCATATGCTTTCGTTGCAGTACCTCAATTCGTGTTGGGAACGAATTGACAAAAATGTCCGTGGCGTCTGCTCGGCGTATGATACAGGCCCGCACAATACGCTGCACCTTTTTAATTGCACAGCCAAACCTACCCAACTCATTCCAGAAGATCTCTGGCTACAGGCCGTTAAAGTAGCGAAAATTTTAAACCAGATTAGCAGAATAATCAGAATAAAAATACTACTGCTACAACAACAACAAAGAAGCCTTCCGAAAAGGCCTCTGATGTGCATGAGGTACCACCCTCCAAATCAACGAAAGGTGAGGCTGAGCTTAAATCTACCACTAAAAAGAAAAGGAAATCGAAACCTGATCGAATTTGACCCTGCCGAGCCCATCAGCTGATTCATAAATGCAACCCGTTACAACGGGTGAAACTACGGGAGGACAGAGCAGAGTCAAATATGTCTTGTCTGCTGAGTTGCCAATCTCGCTGATCAACATGTCCTACGAAGACCCAGATCCATCACACAGTGCTGTGCCTGACTTGTTAATGGAAATGGGCATCATCATCGTCATAGAATGTGGCACAATGTCACCCGTGAGTCAGTATTCAATTTTATTCTCAACAATAATCTTAGAATATTTCTGAATAGTGTGCACGAATTCTGGACATATCAATAAGTCGGAATATACTAGGCAAAGGTTGTTGTTGTTGTAGCAGCTCATACATATGTGTTCGTTTGGTTTCCATTTTCTGACTCAGTTCAATCCGGTTCTGCCTCTAAGTCCAGTCTCAAAAAGGATGCAACCTGTATGGGTTGAGTCCATAACGAGACTGGAGTTAGGTGAGTAGGCTTGGCTGGGCAGCGAAATAAATGCGGCGTGTCATGTGGGCCTGTGCCACATGCTGGGCAGATGTTCTGCACTTCGCCGTTGATCCGGGCCCAGTAGGAATTTAGGCGGCTGCACCATCCGGATCGTAATTGAGCCAAGACTACTCGGGTTTGTCGGGGCAGCTCTCGTTCTTCAGCTGCGACGGGAGGGGGATGGTCTCCTAGCACAGTATTCACTCTATATCCTTCAATGGCTTCTGAGACCGCATTAGAGTGAATACTATTCAGTCCCGCTTGATAGGCCTGTTGATCTAGAGGCTCTCTCTTATACCTCTGTACCTCTCTCTCTAGATCATGAAGGTCTTTCCTAACGTGCCTGGGCGGAGGTTGCCTATCCACAAGATGGTGATTTGGATGGCTTTGTCTATAACACCCAAGCAGGTATTGCATTGACAGCATTTTGTTATGCTGTCGCACCGGTAAGACCTTCGCCTCCTCATGTAGGTGATCGACGGGTGTCATGAGAAGGCACCCTGTTGCGGTTCTAAGGGCGGCATTCTGGCAGGACTGAACATTTTTCCACTGCGTAGCACTGACGTTAGCGGACCACACTGGAGCCGCATAGTTTACCACAGACCGGCCTATCGCGTTGTAAGAGGTCAACAAGGTCTCCTTATCAGCTCCCCAAGTACTGCCGGCCAGAGACTTGAGGACCTTGTTCCTACTTCTAATCTTGTCGCAGATAGCTGTGGTATGCGCGGACGACTTAAAGAGGCTATCGAATGTGACCCCTAATACCTTGGGGTAGTTGGTGGTCGGAATACTAGCACCATCGACCTGCACATTCAAGGATAGCCCCATCTCCGCAGTCCATGTGGTGAAAAGTGTGGCCGTCGACTTAGTGGCGGATATCTTCATATTCCTCGCAGTGAAAAAGGCGGTAAGATCAACCAGGTAAGCGTTCAACCGATCGCAAATGTCATCAATAATGGGTCCGGACGCCACGAGCGTACAATCATCTGCGTACGTAATAATCTCTATGCCGTCTGGAGGGCGTGGAATTTCAGAAAGGTAGAGGTTAAACAGTTCCGGAGATATCACCCCACCTTGGGGAACTCCCTGTTTAACTCTACGGATGCTCGACTTCTTGTTTCTGAATTCCACATACGACTGGCGTCCACACATGTAGTTTACTATCCAACGTTTCAAACTTGGCCGGAGGGTGGTGCGTTCAATGTCCTCGAACAGTGTGGCGTGATTGACTGTATCAAAGGCTTTTGATAAATCAAGTGCCACCATAACTGTTCTATCGCACGGCCTGTTCTGGTTGAGACCTCTACTGACATGTGTGGAAATGGCGTGTAAAGCTGTTGTTGTGCTATGCAATTTTCGGAATCCGTGTTGATGATCGGCTACTGGGAAACACTCTCTTATGCTGGGGAGGAGTAAAGCCTCAAGCGTCTTTGCTACTGGTGACAAAAGTGATATCGGCCTGTATGAATCACTTTTGCTGGCATCCTTGCCTGGCTTCAGTAGCGGGACCACCCTGCCCATTTTCCAGGCATCGGGAACTACTAGGGTGGCTAACGACAGATTGAGAAGCTTTGTCAGATACTCAACTCCTGGTTCATCCAGTTGCTTCAACATCACCATTGAGATTCCGTCAGGACCAAGCGCTTTGGATGACTTTGCGCTTCTGATGACCTGTGCAACATCTGCCAACGTAAATTGTGGTGGTACCTCCTCGGCTGGAAGGGATCGTACACGGCGTAGTATCCTTCTCTTCGCCCTGTCACTCTCGGGGTGCTCTACAAACTGCCGGTTAAAATAACACGCGCACCTCTTCGGATCTGTCACTTCTACGCCGTTAAATGAGACAGATGTCCGATCGTCCTTTTTTCCAGGGTTCGAAAGCGACTTAACCGTTGCCCACAATTTACTCGTTCCGGTACCGATGTTGCAATGCTTCAGATGTTCTAGCCACTTTTTCCGCTTATGCTCGCCTACTAACCTGTTTACCTCCAGAGTAAGTTCCCTGACTCTGGGGTTATTAGGGTTAGTACGGCGAAGCTCATCTCGCTCGTTTGCTAATCCCGCTGCCTCTGCTGGGAAATTTGGTCTTATTTCAGGTATTCGACCAGCAGGTATATAGCGAGCGGCTGCAGCTTTGATGATGTCCCGGAAACACCTATCTGCTACCTGAACATCAGATGGGTTGGGCAGTTCTCTGAAGCGGCGATTGGTATACTCTCTGAATTCTTGCCAATTAGCTTTCCCGTGGTTAAGGAAAGTGCGGCGTTCAGAGTCGATGAAGTCGGGTGGTCTATTGATGGCGATAATAATGGGGAGGTGGTCTGAGCCTAGAGAAATGACTGATTGCCAAGTTACGTCATTAGTCAGACCTGGGGACACGATGGATATGTCCGGAGAACTGTGGCAGTCTCCCCTTATTCTGGTGGGCGCGTCCTCATTCACTGTGCAAAACGTGGAGCTATCGATTTGCTCAGCCAGCGCCATGCCTCTCTGGTCATTACCTAGGACGGAATGCCATAATTCATGATGGGCATTGAAATCCCCTAGCACCAGACGGTTATTGCCTACCAGTAGTGAACTGATATTGGGCATATAACGTGGGGCACAGCTATTTAACGGCGGAATGTACACGTTGAGCACCTCTACCTCGGCGGTTCCACACTTGACCGCTACCCCCATACATTCCATGTACGGGTCACTAGAGTCAAGCTCAGGCGAGATAGGTCTGTACTGGACAGAGTGGTGCAATAGGAACGCTAATCCTCCACCTCCACCTCTGGAGCGATCCTTCCTCAGTACGTTGTATCCATCACAACTTTGAAGCCTGCAGGTGGTACTCAGCTTCGTCTCCTGGATCGCTGCGACCTTGATGTTCTTCCGACTCATAAAGCTTACAATTTCGTTGATCTTACCTCTGAGACCATCACAATTAAATTGGAGAAATGATGCATTGTCCGGAACTTGAACAGCAATGTGTGGCGTCAGCTGCTGCGTAGATTGCTGTTGAGGAGATTGCGGGGGAGTCTCATATTGCGACGACGATGAGGACGCCGAAGATGAAGACTCACTGGGGTCTACATTGACGCAGCAGGAAGCAATGTAGTCCCTATCGCTATACTCCTGTATCCGGTTTAGGCCGGAACAATTCCGGAAATGCACCCACTCCATGCATCCGTTGCATCTCACCGAAACCGATCTGTGGTGGATGCGATTACGACAAACGGAGCAGAACCATGGTCCGGGGTTGGTCTCGATCCCGGCTCGGACCAAGAGAATACGGAGCAAACATTCCGGGTAATGTTGCTCCCACATCAGAAAAATGGACGAACACGAACATGTATTTGCTGGGTTGGCGGCCCCTGGTCGGAGAAATGTGCCTCCGAGTCAATCCGGTACATAGAACCGGCCGCCGTGGGATTGACTAGGCAAAGGTAATAATGATTACATGTTCACCATTTCGATTTCAATTATATTGACGTTAAAATACCCGATAGGGACGACTGGGCTGGTGGTAAAACTCCTCTGGACGGCCTGACCATTTACACAGACAGTTTCTCTAGATGCATGAAGGAGCCGGTGCTGGCGTATTCTTCCCTAATCCATTGTTTAAACCCCTCATATAAGCTTAATGGCAACTGCAGCGTTTTTCATTCAAGGATTCCTCCAATCAAGAAGCCATCCGAGACGGTAAAAGAACTATGCAATGGCATAACAGGACTAGTGACGATATATATGTCGATAATCAGGCGGCCCTAAAGCTATTGAGTCAAATGCCTTCAAATCGAGATCCACTTTTGACTACAAGGATGGCATTCATTGGAATAAGTGATTGTATTAAGCTTTGTTGAGTGTTGAGGACATAGAACAACATAATTCTAGGTTGAATTCAACCTTGTTTGTAAAGGATCCATTATATTTGGGCATATTGGTGCAAAAAGATGATATGGCAGAAAGTTAATATAAGGAAACTATATCAAACTCGGGACGAGTTCATATTAATCTCAAATATTATTATATTAATCTCAAATGGGTATTTTTTGCGAGGCAAAATAATATCAAATCATTTAGTTGTTTTTTTTTTTCACTTTGCCTCACAATTTTATATGACAGTTGAAAAATTTTGCCCGGATTCTAAACATTAATATGTTTATGAATAGAAGCCACTAAAAAAGCTCCATTTCCACTACATTTTCCCGGGAATTAATGTGGACATAACATTGGCTGAATACCATTTTCAATTTCTTTTAACACAAGTTGTAAAGCATTAACCCTTTATATCCCATTAACATTGTGTGTACAAACTATGCGTGAAAATATAAGTCTTCTAAAGTGAGAAACCTCCAACGAATGTGCCCTCTCACTCTCTATTTCTTATTGTAGAGTATTCTCCTTTAGAACAATGTGGTGTTCTCGTCAAAGATTTCTGCTGATTGTGAAAATTTGCGACAATTACAGAAGGGGCAATCTGCGATCTTTGATCATTGACTTGGTTACTGGTTGAGGGAAGCTGTGAAGCATCATAGAATATGTGACCTTGAATCAATTGAACCTAGTTTGTGACCTTGATTTGAAAGAACCCACACTGGCACTTAAGTTCAGGACAGCATGTGTATGGAAATAAGTTTACGATTGTAGGAGCATGGCATCAATGTTTTTTTTATAAATTTCTTATTTAATTTGTTTTAACTCACCCTCTTGATGGGAGTCTTCTTTTCAGCACTGGATAAACGCGAGGATGATGATGTGACAATTAATGATGTTGACATCATGTTCGTTGATCTTTTCGGAGTGGTTTGTGCTGAAGTCGATGGTGAAAGTGATGAATTCTTAACGGGCGGTTTATTCTCCTTTTTAATTTTATTTATTTCTGCATGCGAAAAAGAAAATATTTTATTTTTTTTACAAAACCATAAAATTCCATATTACTTACCTTCAAGAGAAACGACGGTGCCGGCAATACTGGCTGGACGAGGTTTACGGGCAGCTGGCATTGAACGCCTGTTAATAAATCCAGATGTTGACATTGTAGTGGATGTGGACATGGCACTGCCGGGCCTTGAAGAGCTTGCATGGCCACCGGGAGTAACATTACCAGAACGTGAACCTACATTACGTTGAGCAATATAAAATGTGTGAAATGGTGTTTTTTTGTTAATAAATTTATATTCTCTGAAATATGTTACGAGCTATGCTTAAATATGCATGTCAAGACTTGTAAGAAAAAAAGGTAGACGATTTTTATGAATGATATTAATGAGTACGTAACGGTAGTAGTAGTAGTACAAAAGTAACCAAGTATAAAAAAACCCTTTTACCAAAAAATGTCATCGACAACCAATCACCAGAACTTCAAATGTTTTGTAGACGACAAGGACAGAAAAGGAGATTTAACTGTATGTATGTATGTATTGTACAATAAACTGATGGGTGTATGATTATGGTATTTATGTATGTTAGTGAAATTACAATCCATTATTCGCTTCTTTACAAAATGTACAGTAGGACAGTGATAGTAAGGACACAAATTACATTGGTACGACATTGTATGTACGTAGCATTGAACGATACCAAATACCGACGAAAAAATAAAAGATGAGGGGGAAGAGTAGGAAATTCGAAAAAAGAAAATTACATATTTGATATTCTGTAAACCAAACACCATGTTTTTGTTGTTGTAGTATTGTATTGTTGCGAGTACAGAAGCCATAAGCGTTGCATTACAATGATATTAAGAAGCTTCTGTCGGATACAAATCTATGCATTTTCATATAATATAAAAAAATAGATAATTCATATAAAAAAATAAAAAAATTATAAGTTATATTTTCATGTATGGGAGGAAATATACATCATAAACTGTGAGAAGAAAACAAACGCCAGAATCTTTCAAAACACCTTAAAAAGCGAAAATTAATGTGTGAATTGATTAATGAGACCAGAGTACTGAAAGAAATAGAAAAACATTTGTTTATAGGTAGGTAGGTAGGTAGTTATGTGTGGTAAATGTATATAACGAAAGTCTTAGTGTATTATAATATTGTAGACGAGTGTGAAAATTACAGCTACGTTTACATTAGAAAAAATAAAAGACGGCATAAAAAGTAATTAGGAAATTAATTTGTTTATGAGAATCTTTGGGTAGAAAAATAAATGAATAACTTAATTTTTAAAATCGATTATTTATCTACAAAACACCTGATTTTGAAGGGTCATATTGATTGAACCATCATAAAAAACCTACGAATCTTCTATAATTGATATACATAAAACGGTGATTGTGACCAGCGATAAAAGAAGATGAAGAATAAGAATAAAAACAAGTTAAAATAGTATCAGTCGGTTTTGCCGACAGATGTATACCCCCAGCCTTGAGTTATGATTATTCAAACTGTTGACTCTTTATGGGAGGAAGGTTCCGAAGCAGTTGGCCGATATTGACCAATTCGTATCTGACCTAAGACTGATATAAATATTACAACGTGCCAGATTTAGACTATATCGACTATTTTTTATACTTTAAATGATAAATGTGCAAATTTTTGGAAAATGTGTAATATGCGTGAGGTAACAGATTTAGCGGACCGAAGTATTCCATTTTTATACTTCATCTAATACAGGTAAAAATATTGGTATGTTCAAAATTTTTATGATATCGAACATTTATATCCAATTTTATGTGAAATCATAAATTCCGATAAATTACATATGCATGTCAGATTTCTGGTTAGAGACATATTTAGATAAAGCAAATTATAAAGAATCGCTGACTTGTTTCGCAAGTTATGACAGATAAAAGTATTGAAAGTTGTGACCCTCTTGTGGGTGAGGTACCAGAAGAGGTTCGCAGATATATATCATCTTCACTACAGATTTTGTGTTAGCAAAATGTTTGTATGCGAGAAATTTGAAGAGAGTTGGATGCGTATCTCGCTTTCTTTGGGCGTTTTGTTTTTCAAGGAGGTACCAGAAGAAATGGTGCGATCTGTACCATCTTTATAACAGATCTTGTGTTGATGGAAATATTGAGATGTATCAAGTCTGAATGGAATCGGACGTTATCTATACCAAAACTACCCAAAATGTTGACCCTTTGTGGGGGAGGTACTTGAAGGAGTGGACCGATATTCCATCTACCATACCTTGCGTTAGTAAAAATATTGGATTTGTGTAATTTGAAGAGAACCGGATATTTATTTCGGATTTTTAAATCCCTTTGGTTATTTAAAATTTTGACACTTTTGTGGGGGAGGTACCAGAAGTAATGCTCGGATCTCTGCCATCTTTATAACAGATCTTGTGTTAATGGAAATATTGATATGTGCCAAATCTGAATGGAATCGAATGTTAATTTCGCGTTTTATGAGCTTCATGGATACTTAAAATGTTGACCCTTTGTGTGGGAGGTACCAGGAGGAGTGGACCGATATATTCCATCTTCACACCATTCATTGGGCTAATAAAAATATTGTGATATGTGTAATTTGAAGACAAACGGACTCTCACATCACATTTTATTCGAGTTGTAATTATACAAAATGTTGACCCTTTATGTGGGAGGTACTTGATGGAGTTTACTGATATTGTCTATTTCTGCACCTGACCTAGCACTGATACAAATATTAGAATGTATAAAGTTGGAGCAAAATCGGATTATCTTTTCTCTTTCTGTGCAGTAATTTATTTTCTTTGAAAATGTTGACTTTTTGTGGGGTTGGCACCAGTAGGAGTGGACCGATATTGCCCATCTCCGAACTCGATCTAGGTTTGACAATAATATTACGATGTACCACGTTTGGATGAAATCGGTTGCGCTCTTCGAGACTTATTGTGCGCATCAGCCAGCCAGACGGAAGGACGGACATCGCTAGATCGACTCCAAATGTCCTGAAACGGATTTGGTCCAAAGAGATCTATGGTCTAAAACCGTTATTTCGATGAGGCACGTTTTGGCCGTATCAAATGATATGTACCCTCTCTAGCCATATGACTGAGGGTATAAAAATAAAGGCCATGGCCAAACCTGGAACCACAGTTTAATTTTTTTAGAAGAGATATTCCATTATTGCAGTAAGCGAATTGGTCTGTCAAACATTTTATGGGCGATACACAGACATTTGTACAACACTTCAAAGTTTTTTTTTTGTCAAGTGAATCGAGCTCCATATAAGGATATAAGAATTCACAAATTCGCCAGACTGTGAGATGCGACATAATGTCACTGTTAAATGATTTCACATTAAAAATTAGCTATATTATACATACGACATTACTCCTAACATATAAAGATTCTCATTTACAATACTAATTCCATTGACCGTTTTGAGTTAATTGTATTATTATGTTTTTTTTATTTTTATTAATTATGTTATATCAATGAAGTTAACAGAAAATGAAGTCAACACACATCGGGGTAATGTAAAGATTTCTTGTTGATCTGCAGTTTTGATGTGACAAAAAAGAAAACAGAAAAATATAATGAAATTGAATTTTAGGATAGAATAAATAAAAAACACAATTATGTAAAATAAAAAGAGGCCATTTGGAGGAAAAATAAACAAATTGATTTCTATTTGAGGCACACAAGAAGAGGAGGAAAAAATAACAAAACAAATGTGGTGGTATTGAAATTATGTAAATATTTTTTGGACAGTAGCAGTATTTTGAAATGTGATTTATAGGTGGTATATTTTGAGAGGAGAAAATAATATGCAGTTGTGGTGTAGAAGTAGTAGTAGTAGTAGGTTGTAGGTAGTAGATTGCAAACACGCACACACACCTGGGTTTAAGAGTAAACTAGGAGAGTTCATGAGTAACAATGAGTCTGTATCGAAACGGTAGAGGTTAGTATTAGAGTTCTGGCCTCGTTTAGACGTGTTGGTGGATGCAGATGAAGCTAGTGATGATTGTAGATATTTTTTGGTGGCGGCAGTTTGTAAGCCTAAATTCGAGCGTGGTGTGGTATACGACCAGGCTACATTATCATTACAACAATAGTGGCCCAAGTAAGTCATACTCTTACAGGCATTTCTACTGCCGCTACCCAATGGTAAAAAACTGGTGGAAATGCCCCCACCTAAATTATATTTGGGACGTGGTGCCCCTTCGCCAGCCAAGTGTATCATACTCCGTGACATTTTAGTTCCTGAGCCTCCAGCCGATTTGCGACCCGATCGACGTCCACCGCCCAGCGATTCGGTTTCATCCATCATTTCCATTTGTTCGCGCCGTTCACGTTCCATAATGGCTCGAATGTGTTCACCATTGCGGCGAATTGGTTGAGCCAATTGATCCAAACGATTCATAGAATATGCACGTCCTGATATTGGATGTCGTTGTTGTCGTCGTCATAGCAGCGATTGTGGCATTGTCGTTCATTTATTAGTGGCAGCAGCATTTGTATTTGTTTCAATAAAGCGGCATTGTTAAGTAGAATAGTGGTGATTTAAAATAAAATTGTAAAAAAATTAATGAATAACAACGAAACTGGGTATAGAATTGCTTTGGTTTTTTGTTTTTCCTTTCAAAATGAACACAAAATAATAGAGAGGTATCGGTTGTTTTTTTTTTTTTTTTAACATAAGCTAGCTAACACAAACATTGATAGGTATTAAGGCGTGTAGTATGTTGTGGTAGTTTTTTTTGTTGTATATAAATATTATTGGTATTGCTATAATTATATATCGAATTTCCTTCTTCCTAACACAAAAAAAAAAAAAATATGAATTCTATAAAATGCACACGACACACACACACTCACACAGGATATCAAAAAAAATAATTAACAACTTACAAAATAAATTTTGATACTATTCGAGGACTTCGACATAAAAATAGTCTGCGTACAATAATTGTAGTGCTCCTTACAGATAACATTTTGCGGACAACAGTTTTTAAATTTTAAATTGATTAAATTTCGGTGGAAAGTAATAGATACAAATTTTCATTTCTATCAATTTGCCTACACACAAATTAATTTTCATCGAAATTTAGTCGGTTTCGAATGTTAGACCCTTTAATTATACCCTGTTTGACACATTAATTAATTTAGGTCTAGCTCTCTATTTCCCTATCAATATCTACTGTGCCCAGCAGTCCAATATGACTTAAAATTAAACGGTTCTGCATTTGATCCTTGATACTATCAATCTTTTTATCTAATATGGAAAGGTTAGATAAAAGGCGCGGTTGCCTTATAACAACCACTCCACTCGGAGACCTATTATACCCCATTGTGTACGTCCTAAAATTCAAGAGAAAATAGAAAGAGAACAAGTAAAATAGTATCAGTCGGTTTTGCCGAAAGACGTATACCCCCAGCCTTGAGTTATGATTATTAAAACTGTTAACCCTTTATGAAGGAGGTTCCGAAGCAGGTGGCCAATATTGACTAATTCGATTTTGACCTGAGACTGATATAAATATTACAACGTGCCAGATTTGGACTATATCGACTAGTACTTCCTTTACTTTATATGAGATATGTGCAACTTTTTGGAAAATGGGGAAATATGTATGCGTAAGGTAACAGATATAGCGTACCGACGTTTTCCATTTTCATAAAGCATCCAATACGGATAAAAATATTGGTATGTGCAAACTTTGAAGTAAATCGAACATTTATATCCACTTTTATGCGAAATCATAAATTCCAATCAATTATATATTCATATCAGATTTCTGGTTAAAAGACATATTGAGATATAGCAAGTTGTAAAGAATCGCTGAATTGTTTCTCAAGTTATGACAGATAAAAGAATTGAAAATTCTGACCCTTGATGGATGAGGTAACCGAAGAGGTTCGCAGATATATATCATCATCTTTACACCAGATCTTGTGTTAGCAAAAATATTTGGTTAGTGAAATTTGAAGAGAGTTAGATGCTAATCTCGGTTTCTTTGGGCGTTTTGTTTTTCGAAATCTTGAACCCTATGTGGGGGAGGTACCAGAAGAAATGTTCCTATCTCTACCATCTTTATAACAGATCTTGTGTTGACAGAAATATTGAGATGTACCGAATCTGAATGGAATCGGATGTTAATTTCATGTTTTATGAGCTTCAGGGATATTCAAAATGTTGACCCTTTTTGGGGGAGGTACAAGAAGGAGTGGACCGATATATTCCATCTTCACACCAGACCTTGGGGTAGTAAAAATATTGTTATGTGTGTAATTTGAAGACAAATGGACTCTTACATCACATTTTATAGGAGTTATAATTATTCAAAATTTTGACCCATTATGGGGTAGGTACCAGAAAGAGTAGACTGATATTGTCCATTTTCGCATTTGCATTGATGCAAATATTAGGTTTCGTTGGAAGTTGGACAAAATCGGATTATCCTTTCTCTTTCTGTGCAGTAAATTATTTTCTTTGAAAATGTTGACATTTTGTGGGGGAGGTAACAGTAGGAGTGGACCGATATTGCACATCTACGAACTCGATCTATGTTTGACAATAATATTAAGATGTACCAAGTATGGATCAAATCGGATGCTCCCTTCGAGAGTTATCGTGTGCACCAGCCAGACGGACGGACGAACATCGCTAGATCGACTCCAAATGTCCTGAAACGGATTTAGTCCAAAGAGACCTTAAATCGTTATTTCGATGAGGCACGTTTTGGCCGTATCAAACGATGTATACCCTACCCTCTCTAGCCATATGGCAGGGGGAATAAAAATTAATGACTAATTGGCCTGTGGTCCTTTGAAAGTGAATGACTTGACTTGAAAGTGAATGACTCCTTGCCCTGCACCATACACCTAAATGCATTGACCCTAAGGTATATAAACTCGATGTATAAATGGATGGAACTTCCCCGCACTATTGTGTATACCTTTCAGGAGTCTCATATATATTTAAACTTTCAGGTGTCTCATATATATTTAGCTTATTAAGCAAAATTATTTATCTTTTCTATCTTTTTGTATCGATCTCTAAATTTTCTATTGTTAATGCCGCCTTTGTGGGCCCAAAACCACCCCTTGAAATCTCAATTTTAAAACTTGGTTTTTTTCACTATTAATGTACGCAGAACATATTTATGCCTAGTATACGTCGTTTATTTTAAAACTTGGTATTTTTTTCACCATTAATGTACGCAGAATATTTTTATGTCTAGTCGACTTCGTTCCAATATTTGTTGCACAAATTCAAATTAAATTAACAAAACAAATCTTAAATATGATATGTAAAAAAAAAATAATAATAGCAAACAAAAGCATAAAGGCTGTCTTAACAGAATATCAGATTTTAATTTAGAGTAGTATTAGGTATAGATATGTAGGGATGGAAATCAAACACTAATTGAAATTACGTTGAATATATATCTGAGTGGGTATAATAAACGAACACAAAAATCAAATTCTTTTTGTAATAGACTTGAAATGTTCACAATATATCGAGAGAAATAGAGCAGCAATAGTAGTTGAAGGGGAGAGGTATAAATAGGTAAACATGAGGTCAAATTATAACTTAATACAAAAATATATATCTAGAAAGAGTTCTCGATGATAGTAATGATTGGGGTGTCTTTATTGTTTGTGGTATAGCGTGAGTTGGTGAATGTTTTGTGTTGTGATGGGTAATGTTACATGATGTGTGTCTGTCTTACCTGGTGTTCTAGAAGGTGTATTACTTAATGATGATCGGGAACCGTAATGACCATCCCTGGGACTCGGTATTGTTGGCATAAGGTCAGTTTTTCTTCTGGCCACACTTCGAAACACAATATGTGATGTATCAACATTATCTTCTATATAAGATTAAATGCGTTGTTGTTTGTGGGGGGTCGTACGTTGTAACGTAGTGAAGTGGATAGTTTGATTGATTCATTGATTGGTCGGTCATACACAAAAAGAAAATTTGGAATATATCGTTATGTTATTTATTTTTTTTTATCGAATTTTTAAAATTTATTTTTTCATAAAAAAATCTTAAGAAATACTATTATCATTCATTCCGCGAAAAGAATGAAAGAGACAAAGAAAAAGCATAACGACATTCTTTAAAAATTTGAAGAAAAAAATGAAGACATGCTCGGCTCGGTTTTACAAGCTTTCGTAACATTCTGTAGCGCCAACTGCTAACAGATTTCTTTTTAAGCGACAAAAATTGTTTAATGCATGTTTTAGATTTTTGCAAATTGATTAATTCTTGTAAGTGGCAAAAATTACAACTACTACGCAGGCAAATCAAGTTTTATTTTTTTGTATGCATTTTTAAAAGTTTATTGTGAATTTCTTTGTGGGTTAATTCCATGGTCGTGATATTTGGTTAAAAAAAAGGAAAACATTATTTCTTTGTATTTGTATTGTATTGGAAATTGGAATCTCCTTGAGTCATTAATAGCTCAACTCGAAAGATAACTTAACAATTTTTACACCCTCCACCTTGAAAAGGAGGATATATTAACTTTGTCATTCCGTTTGTAGCATCCCTTAATATTCGTCGCAGACCCCATAAGGTATATTTATATATTCATGATCAGCATAAAATTCTAAGTCGATTTAACGATGTCCGACTCTCTGTCTGTTGAAATTTTGTATTGTGTCTAGGGCTCCAGCTCGCCAAAAATTAGTATTTGTAGTTCGTAATGGGTTCTAGCTCCGGTGGTAGAACATTGTACATACAGGTCCACGTTTTCCTAAAGCACATATAACGGTACCCACCGATATTCTGTATTTTAATAATCCTAGTCACAATTACCCACGAAATTGTTTCAAATTTGGTTAAGATAATTTGGTAGATAACAATCTTTGAAGTATAAAATTGTCTATATAGTTTTTCCGTTTTGGTATAGTCCCCATATGACGACCTCACCCACTTTTTGGTTTTTTAAGTTTAACAGCATTATACAAACGTCCTTGCTGGTATTTGTGGTTTAAAGTGGGATGTGGTTTGAATTCAGATACTTATATATATAAATGTTTCTTTTCCCAATGGTGGAGGGTAATAAAAATTCGGCCTGGCCGAACTTGGGATTTTTTTAGTTTTTTTTTTAATTGAAAAATTTATTAACAATTATTTTATGTAACAAAAAAATTAAAGGAAGCAAGTAAAAAAAACTGTAAGTTCGGCGAGGCCGACTATCCACCATTTGGAACGAATATGGCAATTTTCAAAAAAAATTAAATCCATTCTGTTAAAATCTTAATAATACCGAATGTAGCCGTTATATTAGGACCTGCACACACAAATTTCTATCATAGGCTGTAGTATCCATTACGTACTTCAAATACCAAATTTGAAACAATTCCGGTGAATAATGTTGCTTAAATCTTCAAAATACCGAATATCGGGAGGTGCCGTTATATAGGGGATATACGAAGACGTGGACCTGCACAGACAATTATCTGTCATTGACTGTAGCATCCATTACGATCTTCAAATACCAAATTTGAAACATTTCCGGTGAATAATTCCGCTTAAATCACCAAAATACCGAAAATAGGGAGGTATCACTATATGGGTCTATACGAAGACGTGGACCTGTATAGATAATTTTCTGTCTGTCGAACTTCGAATACCAAATTTAAAAAATTTCCGGTGAATAATGTCGCTTAAATCGCTATAATAACGTAAAAAATGTATATTTCGAGGTGTTGCAAACGGAATGTCAAACTTAATAATGGTGGAGGGTTAAAAAGAGATGTGTCGTATTCATGTGTCGTATTTTCCTATTTTTAATTTTATTTTCCTATTTTTATTTTTTCCTAATTTTTGCTCTGTTCCAGTACCTGTTACTACTAGTTTACTGCAATTTTCTACTAGTTTTCCAATTTTCTTCGATATCATAGAGGGAAAATCGGTTATCGCAGTTAAAACTTTGTCATTCTTGCAGTTGTGGAACAGACATTTTAATTTTTTCCAGCCATTTTTGACATTGAAATTTTGAAATTGAAATTTTACCATAATTTTCCGCTTCTACAAAACGAAGAACCGTTAAAATTTTAGTATGAATTTTGTGAGCTTACACAATTATTTCGGTTTAATTTTTAAAGACAATAGAACACGATAAACTTCTATTGTGTATAAACAAAATACCACGACACAGAGTTAACCATTTGAGAAATACCCCACATGTGAAAAAGAAAATTATTTTCGATTTTAACAACAATCGAAAAATCGATGATTTGTATGGATATCTTCTATCGACCAGGCAATTGCTAATATTTACAAAACAAAAAAGTCGTTTGTATGATTTAAAAAAAATTAAAATAATGTTAAAGAAAACATTCTTAATAATGATGAGAAAATAAAAGAAATTCATGCAAAAAATTTATATATATACGTATGTATAAAAAGGTTATTAAACAAAAATATACAACTAGCAACGTAATTGTTAGAAAAACAACAAATTTGAAGTTGGGGTGCATAAAAACAAAATCATTATTAATTAGAAGTCAGTCGAAATCTCAGTAAGAACACTTTAAATAATACATTCATCATTTGAAGTTAGTAGTACAACATAGAAGGATTATTATATAATTTGGTCAACAAAGAACTTCACGAAGAAACTGAATTACCCCTCACATGATTCAAGTGAAAATGATATACAATGTAGAAACGAGACTGGACGTTTTACGAATTGTTCTGAATTTATGGCGTAGAGTGTATATTTGATTGCTGCAAATTTGAATAAACAGTCGTGAATAGTCTTCGGACCTGGGAGATAGTCTCATTTCAAAAATGTTCTTTAAGCAAATGTATTCTGAAAAGTGAATCCCCACAACGCCAGTGATGTGTCCAAAAGTGTTCAGGGTTTGCAGACAGGATGTCAAATGCATTCTAACGGAATATGAGCGAGATCCAGCCATCTCCACGAGTATAGGGTAATAAATATAGCCTTTTCTATGGCACCTATGATCTGTGGTAAAGTGCAACAAAACTTTTCACAGCTAAGAAAGTGGGGTGCTCTAGGTCAACTCTGGTTGATATTGTACTTGAAATCGATTTTCTAAGCAAGTGTCTGCACTTTAAAGGCTGTATTCAATGGTCTGCTGGATCTACAGCCACTGAGAATCCACTTAGAGAAATTGTACGAGGCGAAGGTTTAAATAAGAGTCAGTCTTAAACCCCTAGGCTCAATCATTGTTTGCCTTTTTTGACCTCTTAAAGCCCAAGCATATCGGTATCATTTTAAGCTATTATTTGTGATCACTTTTTAGTCATGAATTGATCAAAATTTTAAAATGACCATACCTATCTATCTAGTTTTTGGCGTTTTTAGCTATAATTTGTGATCACTTGAATTAAACAATATTTTAAAATGGCCATAACATCTTTAGTATTTAGTTTTCGGCGTTTTAGCTATTATTTGTGATCACTTGAATTAAAATATTTTTTTAAAATGACCATAACTCCTTAAAAATTGAGTTTTCGGCGTCTTCAGCTATTATTTGTGTTGTACTTTTATAGTTTGAAATAAAAGCCAATGTTTGTTAATACTAAAGGTGTATAGATTTATTGGATGATGAGCGTTCACAGCTACTAATTTAAAAAGAATGAAGAAGTTACAATGTAGTGAATCAGACTCGAGTGACAGACAAAACAAGACTGAGCAAGCTAAAATGGCGGTAGCACGGCGTCCTATTATGTGGGCGTTGCCGTATAGGATGTTGCAACATGAGATGCCATATTGTTAATGTGGGTTGCCCCAACATCTCCCTCCTTAAGATGAGAAGGTGATCTTGAAATAGGTTCGACTGGTTGTCTGCGACTTGTTATTCTTTGAGGTGTCCAGTTTGGTGAACCTGTTGGAGTTGCAAAATGTTCTTGATGGTTAGGCAAAGCGATTTCGAATTCTTCAAGTAGTACGTCCAATGGTAGTTTTTGTCGTTCTTGACTGCTTGACTCTACCGATTCTCTATGTCGAAGTTGATCAGTATGAGCTCGTACTAGAATTTTCCTGTCCCCAACGTCGATTAGAGTGTTGTAAATGACTTTCCCTTTACGCTCGACTATTTCGCCTGTTGTCCAGTAACTTTTGTTTCCTTTGAAGTTTCTGGCATAGACCAATTCTCCGTTGCTAAACTCTCTGTTTTTGGTACCGTGTTTGGTATTGTACTGCTGTTCCATTTTGTGATTGACGTTATACTCAGGCGATTGTTGCTTCCTTAGAACGTCGAAGACCGTTCTCATTTTTCTTCCGATGAAGGATTCTGCTGGAGACTTACCTTCTGGTGCATTTGGATTTGGTGTGGATCTGTAGACTTCTAGGAAGGTTTGGAGAGATTCCGTAGGCGTTTCTTCCCCTTCTAGTTTTTTTAATGCACGTTTAAGTGTATCAACGAAACGCTCGGCTTGTCCATTTGAACTTGGATGAAAACGAACAGTCCTTGTGTGTTTAATGCCTTTTTTGCTGCACCACTTCTCAAATTGTTCTGAACAGAACTGTGTTCCGTTGTCCGAGACCAATTGTTCAGGATTTCCGAAGAGTGCACAATATTCGTTTAACATTTTTAATGTTGCATATGTGGTTGTCGTTGTTGTCTCGTATATAACAGGGTATTTTGAATACGAGTCGATGATAAGAAGATAATATTTACCTTTTTCTGGACCAGCAAAGTCTATATGTATCCTTTCAAGAGGGTGTGAAGTTAATGGCCATGGGCAAAGATTTGTTTTTACTGGACTTTTTGCCGCATGTTGACAATTTTTGCATTTCCGAACAAAGTCTTCAATTTGTTTGTCGATGTTTGGCCAATAAACATAACTTCTGGCGATGGCTTTGCTGCGTTCTGCTGATAAGTGTCCTCTGTGAAGTTGTTGTAAGATTTGTCTCTGATATGATTTAGGAATTACTATACGATTATTGAAGAGAATACAACCATCGAAGGTTGAAAGATTTTCCTTGCGGTTGAAAAATTGAATAATTGATGGGTTAATATTTTTCTTGCTTTCTGGCCATTCAGTTTGAATGTATTTGAGGACCATTTGTAAATCCGTGTCTTTAGTTGTTGCATCGACGATCATTTTAAATGATACTGGGAGAACTGACATAATTTCATTTATCTCGTTACGTATGTCTTCTTCGAATGATATTGAAGCCACTATAAAGTCATCTGCTGGTTTTTCGTGATTGTTGACTAATCTTGATAATACATCAGCGTGACCAAAGTCCTTTGTGTTTGTGTATTTAATTTCGAAGTTGTAAGCCAGTAATATAAGGGCCCATCGTTGTAAACGATTTGCTGTGTAAATTGGAACTCCCTTCTTTGAACCAAATATTGCGAGTAAGGGTTTGTGATCAGTGTGTAAAGTAAATTTGCGTCCGAATAACATTTTGTGAAACCGTTGAACGGCGAATATAAGGGCTAGGCCTTCTTTTTCTATTTGGCTGTAATTCTTTTCCGCTTGTGTGAGTGATCTGGAAATATGATGTATTGCCTTCATAGTGTTGTCTGGAAACATATGATAGATAACCGCGCCGATTCCGTGAGATGATGCATCGGCTGCTACATGTATAGGCAAGTTTGGATTGTAATGCGTTAAAAGAAGATCTGATGTCAAGATGTTCTTAAAGTCGTTTAATGATTTTTGACACTGTGACGTCCACTCGAACTTGGCGTCCTTTTTTAGTAGATCGTCAAGAGGTTTACGTAGTGTTCTCATGTTGTTTACAAATTTCCCGTAATGATTAATAGAGCCTAATAACGATCTTACTTCCGAGACGTTTTCTGGTGTTTTAAGATTTTGAACGGCTGCTATTTTGATTGGGTCAGGTTTGATTCCATCTTTGCTTATTATGTGTCCTAGATATTTGATTTGTTTTTGAAAGAATTGGCATTTTTCAAATTTCAGTTTGAATCCGTGATCTTGAATTCTTTGTAAAAGCTTGTTTAAATTTAATTTATGTTCCGGAATAGATGGACTTGATAACATGATGTCGTCTATATATGCTTTTGCTCCTTCTATGCCTGCGCATAGCTTATCCATGATCCTTTGAAATGCTCCCGGAGCTGATTTTATACCTGGGGTTAGACGGTTGAACTTATATAGACCTTTGTGTGTATTGATGGTGAGAAGCTCTTTACTTTCGTCGTCAACTTCGACTTGTAAGTATGCGTCTGAGAGATCTAAGTGACTAAAGATTACACAGTTGTGGCAATCAGACATGATTTCTTCCGGTGTTGGTAATGGATACTGATTAGGTTCTACTATTGAGTTTAGTCCTGTTGAATAGTCTGCACATATTCGAATTTTTCCATTACGTTTGCTGACCACTATCGGCGCTGCGTACCTCGATGAATCTACCGGTGTGATTATTCCTGCGTTTTCTAATCTGAGGAGTTCTGTGTCAATTTCCATTCTTGCTGCGAAAGGAACTGGTCGTTTGGGAACGAATATTTCTTTTGTGTTTGGCAATAATTGTATGTTGACTTTTGTTTTGCACAGACCTGGGGTACTGTTATCAAAAACTGATTGATAATTCGTTTTCAATTCTGCTATTTCATCAACGAAGTTTATTTGATGACACCATGAGGTTATTGGTTTCTGCCATAGATTGAATGCTTGAATCCAATCGATTCCCATGATATTGAGTTTTTCTATATCTGTTATATAACATTTTAATGTTTTTGATGTTTTGTCGATTGTGACGTCACATTGAAATTCTGCTAGGAGCTTGATTGAATTTGCGTTTGCGTCGCTAGCGTTGTCAAAAGTTTCGTAGGCTTCAGGCTTACCTATAGCTTTCCATGTGTTGATAGATACAATTGATATGTCTGATGCAGTATCAATTTGAAGTTTTACAGGATTGTTGTTAATTAGGACAGTTGTGTGTTTCCTTAAGTCGCGGAAATTAATGTTGTGTGTTTTGAAAACTGCCTTAGTTTTGAATGATTTCCTTGAATTGCTGTATTTCTTGAATTCGTTCTGGTTGTTTTCAGATGATGATTTGAAATTCTTACCAGTCTTAGCGATGTTGCAAAAGTTATTTTTATGACCCACTTGATTGCATGTTGTGCATTTATGTTTCTGGAAAGGACAAAATTTGACGTAGTGAAGGTCTCCGCAATACCAACAGGGTGAATTGGGTGTTTTGTGCTTCTTAAAGTCTTTTGCGTGCTTGTTGAGTGAACAGACGATTTTTGATTGATGTTCAATGAGAATGTTGTCCGATTTGAGATCTAGAATTCGTTGTGTTTCGTCTACTAGTTGATCTAGGTTCATTGTAGTGTTTTCATCATCCAGTACCTTTAGTAAGCGAAGTCTTATGTCGTTGTCCTTTGCTGACTTGAGTCCTAAGACGAAAATGAGACATTTGAATTGGTCGATTTTCAGTTCTTTCATTTTGAATAGTTCGCATTGTAGGTTTACTCTGCTTGCGTATTCTCTGAAATCTTCGCTGTCGCCTTTTGCTAGCTGAAGGCATTTGTATCTTTGTGAGACTTGTGTTTCTGTTTTACCAAAGAGTTTCTTGAGTTTCTCTACTGTATCCTTTAGAGTCATGTCTTCAGGTTTTGCTGGTAATACGTAGTTGGCAAATCTTTCATGTACTTGGTTCGACATTTTTCTCCATAACAAGGCCACTTTGTCATGTTCTTCGAGTGAGCTTGCTTCTTTTTCGAAAACATGCACAAACCTGTTGTACCACGCTTGAAATATCAGACCGCTCTCTGGCTCGTATACGAATGCTGTCATTGACTGTGCTAGTGATTCCATTAGTGCTGCTTTGGATGAATTTGATGTTTGTGGTGAGTGTGGTGAATTTGGTGCTCCTTGTGCTTGAAGAAGATCAGCCATATGCTTTAGCAGTTGCGTTTGTTGCGACATTGCTTTTTGTTGCTCTGTTAACAATTGTAGAATTATGTCTTGAGACATTTTTGCGGATTGTTGTGTGTGCAATTATTGATCAATTTCCACTATCCTCGTCGCCACTTTTGTTGTACTTTTATAGTTTGAAATAAAAGCCAATGTTTGTTAATACTAAAGGTGTATAGATTTATTGGATGATGAGCGTTCACAGCTACTAATTTAAAAAGAATGAAGAAGTTACAATGTAGTGAATCAGACTCGAGTGACAGACAAAACAAGACTGAGCAAGCTAAAATGGCGGTAGCACGGCGTCCTATTATGTGGGCGTTGCCGTATAGGATGTTGCAACATGAGATGCCATATTGTTAATGTGGGTTGCCCCAACAATTTGTGATCAATTTTTATACCCTACAACAATATGTGTTGGGGGGGCTGAAAATTCATCGATCTCAAAGACGAGCTCATGACTTTGTAGGAGGGTTAATTTGGCATTTAACAATGAAGCACCCCTTAGGAGATCCATTAGAAGACAATAGGCAATGGTGGAGCCCAACCACAAATTTATGGAAATTATATTATGAATATTTGCTATCTGATTTTTAAAAAATGTTGTCTCCTAAACAGTCTAGCTATGGAAAATTCTTGAGTATTTGGAACACAAGTCCTCTGCTTTGATTTACAACTTATTTATAAGCTGAAACATATTGTATACTCGATTTTCTTTCCAGTTCTTAAAGATGTTAACCAAATTTTTAGTGAATTGCAAAAAAAAAAAAAAAAAAGAAAACATTATGGAGGGTAAAGAGAAAATCAAATGAAAAATTAAGAAAAAAAAAACAAAACAAAATACAGATGCATAAAAAAAAACATAAAATTGGGAGTTTTCTTGCATCCTCACCCTTAGCAGATGTATAGAAATTATTATGATTTGAATATTGCCTATAATGATGAGTATTATTGTTATTATTATTGAGATGACTATTCTCTGTGTTGCTGTTGTTTTTGTTGCTTGTGTTCTTGGTGTCGCTGATGATATTTGTTGTTGTTTTGCTTGCTGATGGTGCTGCTGTCGGTAGCGGTGGTCCATCTATATTAATTTCGCTACCAACTATTGAAAGTGAAAATCTTTTGGGTGGCTCATCATTGGTGTAGCCCCAATTGAATACTTCATACATTGATGACCTACTACGACGATGATCTTTAGTTGTTGTAGTGGTGGTTGTTTGTTTTTCATTTTTTACAATATTAAAGGTAGATAGTTGTTGTTATCGTGAAATGATGGAAAAAGTGGATAAACATAAAGATAAATGTGACAATAATACTAATAATAAGAAGAGCAGGAAGAAGAGTTCAAATAAAAAAAAAATACAAACAGAATTGGAATGTGGCAAATTGTTGGAAAAACCAAACTGGTGCTTGTTGCTTGTATGCTAATAAGAAATTAAAGGAGGAGATGAGAAAAAAAATGAAGAATTGAGAGAACTAAAAACAATAGATGGCAAATAAAAATTGCAATCCTTAATCCTTATTGTAGAGAAAAATTAAGCAAAATATAATGTGCGTTCCCCTTCCTTAGTTGAAAATTGTATTTCCATTTTGTCAAGCCTGAGGCAGATGTAAAAAAGCAATATTTTAAAATCAAACTAATAAAAAATGATTTGATGTGATGTGGTTAAAATATGACAGCATTTCGGTGCCAGATATCTTTTTGGACAGACAATAAACTAAACATGGTCTTTCGAATAAATTTTCCCGATAGTTGCAAAATAATTCACTTTTATGCGACGCAAATTGAAAAATTTCTGAAACTACATTTATTCATACTTCTAGCGCATATAAGTTGTCTTTGGCATCACGTCACTCTTGTTTTTGGAATTGTATGTTGTTCGTACGTTTATCAAAACGATAAAACGACATTAAAATTATCTAAATACCATTAACACACATACAAGATTTTAAGGAAATATTCCATATTTTTGCCATCATCACATTCATTAAGATGTCAGATGACAGAATACATCTGCAGATGTAATAATAAAAACGAAACAAAATACAAAAAGAAGGAAAAACAGTACAAACGAAGGGGCGGGCACACAACAAATTTCTTGTATGTAGCTAACAAATATTTAAGAAAACAAAATAAGACGGCTCTCAAAAGTTCTTAACTGTCAACGATTTAATAATTCGTAACTTTCAACTCAATACACCGTAAGGTAGATATTTGCCCAAAACTGCACTGTTTATGCTGGACTTACCCTCGTGTCTCTCTGTGCCACTGGCCGATGTTGCACGCTTTTTAGAACCACAATCGTTAAGTTCACGTTCAGAACTTCGACGTGAAAGTGAAGCACCGGCAACATTTGATATTGAAGTAGATCTGAAATGGAAATGGATATATGTTTATTTAGGATATAATTATAATAATTAAAAATAATTTATTTTTTTTTTTATTTTTTATATATATAAAAGAAGAAGAAGAAAGTGGTATGGCTCTCTTGAATATGCAAATCATTTAATTTTAATGGTAGATCAAGTCATTCCCAATATTCCGTGTGATCTCTGATATGTTATGTAGAAACTTTGTTATGCAAATATCTGTAGATTCAGACCAGTTGCTATTGACAGCCCGGTGCAGGGATATATATTCTGGATCACGATGTAATAGTTGAAATAATAGCCGTACCGACAATATTCATGTCTTCTTATATAAGTGATCCACGCTTCTGAACATATCTACTAGCAATTTGATGAACACAGCGAAAAGTAACGCCTTCCCAATGGTTACATTTTGTTGTTATACCCTCAGCCATATGGCTAGAGAGGGTATATATCATTTGATACGGCCAAAATGTGACTCATCGAAATAACGGTTTTAGACCCTAGGTCTCTTTGGACCAAATCCGTTTCAGGACATTTGGAGCCGATCTAGCGATGTCCGTCCTTCCGTCTGTCTGTCTGTCTGACTGGCTGGTGCGCATGACAACTCTCGAAGGGAGTATCCGATTTGATCCAAACTAGGTCCATCGAAATATAATTGTCAAACTTAGATCGAGTTCGGAGATGGGCAATATTGGTCAACTCCGTCTGGTACCTTCCCCACAAAAGGTCTACATTTTCAACAAAAATATTTTACTTCACAGAAAGAGAAAGGATAATCCGATTTTGCTCCAACCTTGCAAATCCTAAAATTTCCATTAGTGCTACAGCATGTACGAAAAGGCACATATCGGTTCACTCCATCCAGTACCTACACCACAAAGGGTCAAATTTTTGAATAATTATAACTCTTATAAAATGTGAAATAAGAGACCGATTATCTTCAAATTACACAAATCACAATATTTTTATTAACCCACGGTTTGGATGGAGTATATCGGTCTGATGCCTCCCCCACAAAGGGTCAAAAATTGAAATATTCATGAAGCTCATAAAACACGAAATTAACATCTAATTTCATTCAGACATGGCACATCTCAATATTTCCATCAACACAAGATCTGTTATAAAGATGGTAGAGATCTGGCCATTCTTTCTGGTAGCTCTCCCACATAGTGTCAAAGTTTTGAATAACCAAAACGATTATAAAATCCGAAATAAGCATCCGGTTCTTTTCAAACTACACACATAACAATGTTTTTACTAACCAAAGATCTGGTATGAAGGTGGAATAAATCGGTCCACTCCTTCTTGCACCTCCCCCAAAAAGGGTCAACATTTTGAATATCCTTGAAGCTGATAAAACATGAAATTAACATCCGATTCCATTCAGACTCGGTACATCTCAATATTTCTGTCAACACAAGATCTGTTATAAAGATGGTAGAGATCGGAGCATTTCTTCTGGTAGCTCTCCCACAAACAGTCAATGTGTGGAATAACAAAAACGATCATAAAATCGGAAATAAGCAGCCAACTCTCTTCGAATTTCACACATACAAACATTTTTGGTAGCACAAGATCTGTTATGAAGACCATATATATCTGCGAACCCCTTCTGGCACTTCACCCAAAAAGGATTACAATTTTCAATACTTTTATCTGTCATAATTTGCGAATCAAGTCAACGGTTCTTTACAACTTGCTATATCCAAATATATCACTGAACCATAAACCTGAGATGAATATGGAATTTTAGATTTCGCATAAAATTTTATATAAATGTTCGATTTTCTTATAATTTTGCCCATACCAATATTTATATCTGTATTAGACGAAGCATGACAATGGAATGCTTCGGTTTATACTATATTTGGTACCTCACGCACATTTGAACATTTTCCAACAATTATCACATATCTCATATAAAATGAAGGATGTGACCAATACTATGATACTTTTTATCTTGTTTTTATACCCTACAACACAATGCGTTGGGGGTATTATAAGTTTGATTGGGCCAAAGATTATGTAACACCTCGAAACATTGGTTTCCCACCTAAGAAAGTATATATGGATCTTCCTATCTCGCCGAGCTGAGTCGATTTAGCTATGTATGTCCGTCCGTCCGTCCGTCCGTCCGTCTGTCCATGTTAATTTGTAATCACGGTACAGGTCGCGATTATGGCCGAAATTGAAAATGGAGGTGGGGTTTGGGTCAAAATAGAACCCCATTACTTTTGGAGATGATCGCATAATATTTAGGGGTTGAAATGGACCAAAAAAATATTCCTGATTTTGCAGTTGCTCTACAGGTTGCAATTATAGACCAATCGACGCGGACGTTAGCATGTGGCTAGAGCATGGGACTGTGCAGAAGTCTTCCAGGTTGGATGAATTGCTGGCATTCTATATACTAATTTTTAACGGCTATAGAAATTATGATCTTTATGTACGCCAACTTGATTATTTGTTGTTGAACATAGTTTTTCAGTTGTTGGTGATGGTTCTGGTTAATCAGAAAATTAAGTATTTAACCGTCTTATATACCGGACGATTGTTGAATAATATCTCTGTGAAGTGGTTGCTGTTTTTAACGACTATTATTTGTCTCAATTTGTCTCTTTTTTGCATACGGACAGAGTAATACTCTCAGCCATGGTAGAAAAAAGTCCCGAGTATATGGAAAAGTGTTTAATATTACGGTTTTCATGTGTTACAAACTTTTTTGCTGTTACAGATTATGTCAAGGTGACATTTTTTCTCCAATTACAATGCATATCGTTCTGGACTATATCTTCATTGCAGTTGTATTTAAAACCAACTCACCGTCTTTGTCCCCAGAATGTACTTGGCGATACCATGCCAAAATCGGCGGGTTCTAAGAGGCGAGGTGTTGAGGAACCAAAAGCATAACCTATGGAATTTCGTTCACGTTTCTTGACTTCAATTCTTGATTCTCTTTCCTAGGGGGGAGAATACGAAAAAAATTAGCATACTTGAATAAAACATCTCACTTATTATTACAACTTACAATATTTTTCCTCAGAATATATTCCCGTCTTTCTTTTTCGGCTTCCATAATTGCCTTTTTACGCTCTTCAACTTGTGTACGCTTTTCGGAATCCCTTTGTCGGATCTCTTCGATTCTGCGTCGGCGTTCCTCTTCTTTTTGTTCACGATATCTTTGTGCTGCTTCTGCTTGGGCCTTTAGCTCTTCAATTTTTCTTTGTCTTTCTTCATTTTGACGTTCCCTAGCAACTTTCAATTTATCGTCACGCTCTTTGGCTGCTGCTTATTCATAGCCACAATATATGGCAGGCAGTTAGTCAGGTTCGACATACAGATTAATAGTCAAATCGATAGACAATTAGACAAACAAATGGATAATTCATCCATGTAGTTGGTCGATCATCAATACCGCACACAGTTAAGGCAATATCATGAGTCAATGTTGATGGTATAGCCGCGAAGCCATGAAAAAAATGATAAAAACAAAGCAGTAGCAAATACATGAGAGTCGTCCATCGGCAGTCGGCAATAGAAACACACAAAACATCCACACCAGCAACATCCAAAATCACGTTTACCATCAACAAATTCAAGCCAAAGTCATCGTTCGTGTATTATGATGATAATATTTGTGGTATGCAGCCGGCATGCAAGGAACAGTTGCAAGTTTTGCCATAGACATACAAATGAAAACAAAACGTAACAATTTTCGTAGCAGTGTTTGAAAATTAACGTACATTTCGATATTGCAGCAGCAAATGTAGTAAGCCATAGAAAAAGATAAAAAGAAAAAAAAAAAGAAGAAGAGACATGATTTAGTTTATATTTTCAAATTATTTAGAAAAAATAAAAAAATAATTGTGTATATATATATATATATATATATATATATATATATATATTAGATCTAATAAATAATATATTAATTAAATTAAAAGTTATGAATAGAAAAAAATATGCCGAAATGCAATGTTTTGCTCTCAAGCCGAAGGAAAATAAAATATCCTGGATTAAATATCGTAGTCAAGAGAAGATGAGGTCAAATCAAGAGATCTTGGGCGGCATTCTTGTTCTATGAAAATTTGAAATGAAAACAAGTAAAAGCTGTAAGTTCGGCCAGGCCGGACCTTAAATACCCTCCAACATTTGGAACGAATTTTGACAATTTTCAAAAAATAAAAACCGTTAAAAATACGACGACGTGAACCTGCATAGACAACTTTTATCATAATATTCAAATGCAAAACAAAAAACATCGGTGAATAATGTAGCTAAAGTCATCAAAATACCGGGTATAGGGTGGTACCATTATATGGGACCCATACCAAAACGTGAACCTGCACAGACAATTTTCTATCCGCTACGAACTTCGAATACCAAATTTCAAACAATTTCGTTGACTAATGTCGCTAAAATCATCAAAATAACGAATATCGGGAGGTACCGTTACATGGGGCTATACGAAGACGTAGACCTACACAGACAATTTTCTGTCTTACGCTGTTGTATCCATTACGAACTTCAAATACCAAATTTAAAACAATTCCCGTGAATAATGTCGCTAAAATTATGAAAATACCGAATAGCAGGAGGTACAAATATATTGAGCCTATACAAAAACGTGGACCTATACGTACAATGTTTCATCCCGGGAACAAGAACCTATTATTTTTAGACAAATCCGTGGAACAATGGGCCCAAAATCATCAAAATAAATAATATCGGGAGGTACAATTATATCGGGACCATACAATAACGTGGACCTATACATACCATGTTTTGCCACCGGAGCTAGAACCAATGGCGAACTACGAATACAAATTTTGAGACAAATCCGTGACGAAGATCATCAAAATAACGAATAACGGAAGGTACAGTTATATGGCGACTATAGCAAAACGTGGACCGATATACCTGATTTTCAATTCCAACCATCCATACACGTTATTGTGCCAAATTTTGAAGCTCTACATCAAATAAGACGGACAACGTTAATTCGACTTAGAATTGTATGCTGATTATGAATATACATACTTTATGGGCTCTATGACGAATATTTAGAGATGTTACAATTGGACTGACATGAGTTAACATACCCTCCTTTTTAAGGTGGAGGGTATAAAAACTAAAATCAATCAAAAGATTTCTAAGTTGTAACTATTCAATCTAAGTTGTACCGTCGTTGAAGTCCAAAATGTCTATGGAATATTTCATAGAGCGGTTCCAATTTTAAACTTAACACAATAACCACTGAAGCTTTTTTTTTTTTTTTTGATTCTACATATATTTCTGATAGTATAATATAATAATAACCGAAACTTCAAAACACACACAAAGTCAGATTATTTAAAATTGTTCATTAACTTTTCTTCCCATTCGGGATAGTGTGGAGTCTAAATATCTATCCAAATGTCAAGGTCAATCACACCAGAAATGAATAAAACACAAACTCTCCATTCATTCATACGTGCGTGCGTACGTCATGGCACATCTTTTGATTCGTTGTTGTTTATTTGTTGACACTTAAGATACACACACAAATAACACTCGACGAAATACGCTGATTAAATAATAAAAGAAACAGTTTGCTATCACTTTTCAGAGACGTTATAAAACAGAATATATAAAACAGCTGTAATTGACATTTTTTTTTTAAATTTGTATTGATTGCGTTGCTTTCGTTTTTGAATCAGGCTTAGGAAATGAAGTCGAAATTAAAATATTTTAATTGGTATTTTTCTAAATTAGGAACTAACAGAGGCGAATTTTAATAATAATAGGTGTAATAGTAATAGGTGTAGCCTTAGCATGTCCTTTTATTCTGTAAATCATAGACAACGTTTACCCGGATTGCGGATAAGTAGGGTATGATGGCTCAGTCCATGTAATACTTGGATAAGATGGTTCAACATATATGAATTTACTGTAAACTTGGATTTTAGCTTACGTCGAAATTAACAATCATTGCAATCATGTCCTGCCTTACTGACAACAGCAGTTCTCCAGAATGATAATTTTTGCGTTTTTCTGACAATCAAGAAGGCAAACGAACGGTAAGAGAACTTGACAGCAGCATAACAGGACCCATGACTATATATGTCGATAGTCAGGCGGTCCATAAATCTATCAAGTCATAGAGACATTCTCGATTGCAAGAAAACTTGCTTTAATGTACAGAACTTCATTAAGCCTTTCTGGGTTTCAGGCCATGGAAGGGCTGATGGCTTAGCCTGGGATGGTTTCTTAGTCAATTAATCTACCAATTGATGAGACTGTCGAACTACCGGTTTGATTTTATGTCAGCTGTTCAAGAAGTCTCAAAAAAATATAAAAACCGTTAAAAATTCTGTTAAAATCTTAAAAATACCGAATGTAGCTGTTATATTAGGGTCTATACGACGACATGGGCCTGCATAGGTAGCTTTTGTCATAAGCGGTGAATAATGTAGCTAAAATCATGAAAATACCGATTATCGGGAGGTACCGTTATATGGGAGCTATACGAAGACGTGGACCTGCACAGACAATTTTCTGTCTTAGGCTGCAATATCTATTACGAGCTTCAAATACCAAATTTGAAACAATTCCGGTGAATAATGTCGGTAAAATCATCAAAATACCGAATATCGAGAGGTACCGTTATATGGGGGCTATACGAAGACGTGGACCTGCACAGACAATTTCCTGTCTTAAGCTGCAGTATCCATTACGAACTTCAAATACCAAATTTGAAACAATTCCGATGAATAATGTTGCTAAAATCATCAAAATACCGAATATCGGGATGTACCGTTATATGGGGGCCATATCAAAACGTGGACCTGCATGGCCCATTTTCAATACCAAAAGTCCTGCAGACATAATATACATTTGAGTAAAATTTTATCAAACTACTTCAATTCGTTCGGAAGCTAGAGTGATTTCCACAGACGGACGGACATCCAGTGATTTCCACAGACGGACGATTTAGGCTGATCAAGAATATATATACTTTGTGGGGTCCAAAATATATATTTCGAGGTGTTACAAACGGAATGACACTATACTATGGTGGAGAGTATACAAATATTGAAGCGAAAAAGCAAAAGGGTTAATAGTATAGGTTGGTTTGCTTAGCCAGGAGATGCTTTTAGCAAACCTATAGAAGATAATAGGACCTACGATTAACGTCCAACCTACTAAAATAGCTCACATCTCCTGTGTTATAGCATATGGCAGGTGTTTAAATGTCTCTATCTCTTCTTCATACTCACATCGTCTACTCATCCAAAGAGGTGCAATGGATATTTTCACCGACAATTTGTCGAGCACCCCGAGAACAATGGGGCGGAACTAAGAGAGGCCTGTAAAGGTGAGAACATAGCGGAATGTGCAGGTCGAGGGAAATTTAATTCCAACCATGAACTATCCTAGATGTCCGCAAAAGTCACAGCTATCTGCGGCAAAATTAAAAGTAGGGACAAGGTTACCAAGGGGGTAGCCGGCAGTACTTGAAGTGCGTAAAAGGAGACCTGGGTCTATGTGTCTCAGTGTGATCTGCGAATACAAGTGCTACAAATTGGAACAATATCCAGACCTGCCAGAATGCTGCCCTGGGAAATGTAAGAGGCTGTCTCCACTTGACGCCAGTGGACCATTTCCGTGAGGCGGCGAAGATTCCTTCCGTAGTTAGGGTAACCATAAGCTTTTGTTGCAGTACCTGCTTGGGCGCTATCATGTGAGTAGTTTAAACCATCATATGGGGGATAAAACTCCCCAACCCTAGATAGGGAGGTCCAACGCTTCAGAAGATAGCCTCTAGATCAAGAAACCTATCAAGCATGACTGTGTAGCATTCATACTGATACAGTCACAGATGCCATCAATAATTATAGTATGGTGCCGTTCTAGGAGTCCATACTCCATCCATTGCAGTTGAAGGACGTTGGCTGCCTTTACAAATCAGGGTAGATTTGGCGCAATTACTTTCTAAAATAAATCATAAAATTTCTTCCTTTAACCAATTAACGATTTAGAATTTCACCGTAGATTGAGATTCAATGTCCGTATATTCTAAATAATATCGAAAGAATGCCATTTCTGTTTCATACACAAACCAAGACCTAAGTGTACTCTAGATTTGTCACATTATACCATGATTATCATTTTTGAATGATTAATAAACGACAACAAAAACAACCATAATAATTCCTACAGAATATAAGTCGAAGATAACATGTAGTTTCAATAATTATTGTTTTTTTTTTGTTGTTTTGTTTTTGCTTGTTTATGAACTTTTT